ATTCCACTTTTCATAGAGTTTATTTAGATTTAGTAGGGCCCTAATGTAAGAATAGTTTTAATAATGTTTATATACTCACACTACAGTGTGATTTAAATAAGTATGCTGAAGTTTATCCACTTAAAAGTAAGGATACTATTTCAATGGCATTAGCTTCTTTTAGATTTGTTAAGATTTAAAATGAATAATATAGTTTAAGTTTAAGAATATAAAAAAATTGTAAACACCTTATAATATTTTTGATAACTATTTTGTTTTAAAAACTGTATTTTCAGTCTAGTGAATTCATAGTTATACCTATAAGAAAATTTTAAAAGTTATGCAGTAATGATAGGCGAACTAAAATTATTTCACAACAAAAACTTAAAGATTCAAAACAATTACGTAAGGAATTTGACGATTGTTTAATAAATTTAAATACAGAGATAGAAAGTTATTTTTTTTAAATTACGGTGTTTACGATATTTAATTTTTATTTTATTATGTTATAAATATGATATAGTAGGTATAAGAATTTCAATATTTTAAAATAATGTACAACTTCTTTTGTACACCAAGTTATGTTACATTTAAAAAAATATTTTTGTGAATGATTTTTTTTTCTTTTTGCCGACGGGCGTGTAGTGTGTGCATTAAACATATATGTAGGATAGAATAAGAGAGTGAGTAATAAACCTACATTCAAGACCAGTAAACGTATTATTTATTCCCCGAACCTCCCGACATTACAACCTGGTAAAAAGCGAAAATATTCCGGAAAAATATAATCAACTGGAACTAAAAGTGGATAATTTCACTGATTCATTTATAATAACACTAGGAAATTCCGACGGCGAAACATCAAGTTCTTCGAGCGATAAAAGGTTGAGTGGGGTAGAAGATTTATTGTATGATTCTGATTAAAATAATAATAATAATAATAATAATCATTTATTGACAGACAGCAAAGGCCCGTAAAAAAGAAACATAATTACTTATAATCAACAAACATAAAAAAAATTGAAATAAAATGAAATACAAAAATAAATATAAATGAAATAAATGCTATCAAACAAATTAAAACTTACATCTTAACACACTAGACCAATATTTAAATATTGGTCTAGTGTGTTAAGATGTAACTAGACCAATATTTAAATATTTCACTACAATTTTGCGTTAAAATTAGTATAATCGTGTTTCCAGATTTGAGAAGATTACTTCTAAATCTGGCCACACGATGTCTTATCAAAGTATCGGGCGTCGGTACGCGTCCCTCAGCGAACATTGTAGATGCACTACAGTACCTCGGAAAACGAAACAATATTCGGAACGAATCGTTATATTGAACCTTAAAAATTCGATAGTTTTCCTTTTTAAATTTAGTCCAGAGAAGCGGTGTGTAAAGCGATTGGCAATAGGTTTTAAATAGTAATATTTTAGAATCTCGCTTGCATTTATTAAATTTCCTGTTAATCATATTTGCACGTACAGCAAGGGACCGCCTTTCTCTGTCCATGTCCTGATCATCCCTCAGGTCACTCGATACGATATGTCCTAAATATCGAAAGCTCGTCACAAACTTCAAATTTTTGCCGTTCAGGTATAATGGTAAACAAACATCTTTACTATGCGCTCCAAAGACCATTGCCACAGACTTGTCTCCATTATAAACTAAATCGTGGCTTGCTGCATATCTCTCACAAATAGAAATTAACTTCCTTAAGGCTCCGATTGAGGGGCTCAATAAAACCATATCGTCTGCGTAACTAAGGTTGTTTACACATTTCCCACCTACATGACAGCCGATACCCGTTTTATTGAGCTCCTCAATTAGAGCGTTAACGTAAAGGTTAAACAGCAGAGGAGAAGTCAGCCCACCCTGCCTAACCCCACTAGTCAGTACAAACTCGTCCGAGAGCGAGCCATCCCAGTTCACTACATTAACCTGCGTATTATACCAATTAATAAGGATTCTAATTATGTCGTAAGGAACACCCATCAGTTTTAACTTATCCCACAGGATGCTATAGTTTACCCTATCGAAGGCGCGACTCAAGTCCAAAAAACAAGCGTATACTTTTGTTCTTCGTGACACGTAATACGTTACTATTTGTTTTAAGGAAAAAAGTGCCAACTCAGTAGAGCTACCTTTTTTAAAACCAAACTGAGTGTCACTTATAAAAATAAATTTCGATAAAATATCCAGAATAATAGACTCAAATAGTTTCGCACAGGTTGTAGCGATTGAGATAGGCCTATAATTGGAACTGATCGTATCGCTAACGGTTTTACTTTTGACAATAGGGCTAACCACGCATTTTATTGGGTCAGGAGGCAAAATGAGTGTTTTAAACACGCGTTAACAAAAACCGAGAGAAACACCACAACCCAGGGTCCACCGCAACGTAAATGTTCTACCGAAATGTGGTCATGACCACACGCTTTACCAAGGTGCATCTTTTTAAGGGCATTATACACCATACTCTTATCAATATGAGTATATGATAAAACAGGCATATCAAGTGTATCTATCGCAGAAGGTCCACCACTAGAATAGCCGTCATTCAACAAAAAGTTCCGTTTAAAATTATTAGCTATCTGTTTTTTATCGCTAACACCATCCACGCATACCGGAACTCCAACCCCTATTTTGCATAGTTTTGATGTATGTTGCCAATATTTAGAAAAGTTTTTGTCTATACATGCGTTGCTTATCCGTTCCAATAAAATTTTACTTTCGTTTTTTGGCACCACTTTAAGCGACCTTTAAATACAGACCCACTTTGCTTCATCATATCATAGAGAGAACCAGAGCTGGGAGCCCCCGCCCCGGTCCACCTTGATAAGTTTACTTTAGCATCCACATACGCTGATTTTACTACATCATTCCCGCCCGGCGTGCCTTTACGTTTACGCGATGTCACTCCATACCCTACTTGACTTACGTGGCTTTTAATAGCGGACGTATGAAGACTTTCGATAAATTTCTTATAAATTCTAACGAGAAAACCTTTGTGTGAGTCACAAGTACAGCCATCGCAAGAAGAAATTAAGCGCAGATAGTCCCAATTAAATTCTGATAAGAGATAACTACACCACCACTCATACGCTTTAATCTCATCCCCACTTCTCTTACCCCAAGAAATAAGGTTCCTAGATTTAACGTGATTAACCACAATTCTCTCAACAGCAATTATGTTAAAATTAAATTCGAATGCGAGAGGCCAGTGGTCCGACCAAAATACATCATTTATTACATATACTCTTGATAATGCCGACCACGCGACCCCAGTTACAATGCAATGATCAAGCCAGCTCTTTGTGCCATGAGCATAACTAATGTATGTAAAAATATTTTCAAAATCTTTAAAAAATTTAAGGTCTGCGCAAATCAAATCATTTTCTGAATAAAATTTTATTAATTCGTTGCTAAATAACGTGTTAATATTCGCATTATAGTCTCCTAAGGCAATAGCCACATTTACGAAATGATTTTCTAATAAACTATTGATTATACATAAAATATTTGTAAATTCAGGTAAATTTTCAAGATGGTTTTGAGGCATATAAACAGAAAAATACATATGATAATTCCCATTAATATACGATTTTATAGCACAAATTCGCGAATCGGTACAATTTACTAAGTCAACATTATTAAATAACGCAGTTCTCCACAAGAGGGCCACACCTCCATATGGTCTCCCTTTTAATATTCCGGATGAAGAATCGACCGCAGAGGTACCATGAGAAGAGAACTCGGTATGAATTGTTGACAAAAAAGATAGCTCATGGGGAAGCAGCCAGGTCTCTTGAAGAGCCACCACATCAAACTCTTTACACAGTTCTCTAACATGATCAACACTTCTCTTAATTGACTGACAATTAAAACTAACGAACTTCATGTCTTACGGAATTACTTTGCCAGAAATGTCTAAACACTATGCCTACAGGCCAGAAGTCCTCATTCATAAAAATATGTTTTCTGTCAAAATTAATCCTTACCTTAAAAGAAGCAAAGTTAGTCACTTTAAAAGGTTCAATACGTTCAACACTTATCGCTTGTTCACCTTTACACTTAATATACTCCTCGAGCTTATCAGCAGTTGTTGAAACGTCTAAACGTGATACATATCGAGCCGTTACCGCCAAATTATCGTAAGCGACACTTTTGTCGAAAATGCTTTTTTTATCGTAAGTAGTATTTTAAACCATAACGGATCCATCCCTGTTGACATTTCCCGCCAAAATTTAACCGTTATAAAGTTGTAGCAAGTACTAAAATTATCGTAAATACATATATTTTTAAAGCCATAACGTAAGCGACAACAAGCATTTTTATCGTAAGCGCCTTGCGATCAATTTTTTGTAGCGCAAGTGACACTACTTGTTATCGCAACCGACATAGGTGATAGACTATGAGACGTTTACTATAAACAAACCTTACCGAAAGTAATGCACAAAAACATGTTCTCGTTAATGTAGCAAAAAAAAACAGTTTCAGCCATAATAACATTTTTATTGTATTAATTATTGTTATCGTTAGTTGTTTCCTTATTGTGTTTTAAATAAAGTACACATAGTTAACTCCAAAACATCAAATAAAACAGCAATGTCGACTCCTGCAGCTAAGGTATGCTTTGTGTTTTAATTTTTTTAATTGAATTGGGGAAAACTTAAATACCAGTACGTACGTTAACCATTAGAATACATTATCCCTGGGTTCATCAGGAATAATATGGATACTTTTTGTCCCGAAATTCCCATGGGAAATCTTATTAACCAAAGCAAAGCGAGGGCGCACCACTGGTATAAAATAAGCAGTCGTAGTAGGTCACTGCCTACGTCTGTCCATTAATGCTTTATTTATTATTATGTGATTCTTAAACCCACCCCCAACAACTACTAATATATTTCAAATACATAAATATTATAGATAAATAAGAACAGAACAAATGATCTGCTCTAACTTTTCCCTCGAGTTTTTTTAAGTTATTATTTGTTTTTTATAGTCAAGAATGAAGAAAATTAGGCAGTTAATATCACCACTTCCCATATCAGAAGAGAGTAATCCTGGAACTGCTTTTCCCGAGAACATACAGCAAGGTAAGGCCCCAGCTCTAGATCAATTCTTACTAACAGACAGCTACAACGATATTGACATGGACCCAATATTAACTGATACGACATCACCTTCGTTGATCGATTATATTTGTGATACATATTTAAATTCTGAGCTCAATACTAACGCGTTATTAACACCATTACCTCAAACTAAACTTGTCGATTACAGTGATTCAGATACTGAGAATACTTACAATTTAATGAATTTAGATAACCAGAACATAAAAGACTTAACAACTTACGATCCTACTATGCCAGCTTTCATTAATCAATTAATACAGCCGAGCACCAGTTCACTGTTTGACCAACAAGAACTAAATTTGTCCAAGAATTTGGAGACCCACGACAGCATTACCTCTATTGATAGCGAAGATACATGGAAGCCTGCCTCATCGTCCAGTGATTCGGATGAAGATAAATCAGTTCAAACAATAGAAGAAGAAACAAGTGTTGGTAAAAGAGGATATAGGAAAATAAAACCTTTACCAAAACGACTTTTAGCAAAAAAAAATCGTAAGGCTGCTGTAGGGAAATCTATACAACCAAACCCTTGTATGAATAAAAAACGTGGTAACTCATGTGCAAATAAATTTACGCAAGATGATCGCAATAATATTTTTGAAAGCTATTGGGGATTAGGTTGTGATAAAAGACAAAAAAGATTTCCTGCTGTCCTGTGCTAAAGAAAACCGATTGGAAGAAAAAGATCCAGTAGTAATGTTCGCAAAATATCATACGATTATTTTATCAGCTACAATGGACAAAATATTAAAGTATGTCAACAATTTTTGCTTAAGACCCCAAACATATCCCAAATGTCAATGAGATACAACATCGAAAATGCTAATAAAGCTCTGAATACCACTCGAGATGGCAGAAGAACTAGTCGTCCTCATAATAAATCTGACGAGGTAGAAGTCGCTCAGTTAAAATCATTTATTGAGATGTTGCCCGCCGTTCCATCCCATTATTGTCCCAATAAAAGCACTAAAGTATTTACCTCAAGAATTTCAAAATATATCGTTTTTGTATTTACAGTATGTTAATCACGTGAAAAAAAATAATCCAGAATCATCAGTATTATCAAAAAGAGTATTTCGTAACATTTTCAAAAGGGATTTTAATATCGGATTCCATCTGCCTAAAAAAAGATAAATGTGCTTTTTGTGAGAAGTGCAAAAATTTACCACCTGAGAACAAAATTATTTTTGAGCAAACCCCTGAATTTAAAAATCACATTCGAGATAAAGAAAAATGTAAACAACTGTTTTTAGAAGACCAAAAATGAGCAAATTAACTGATTCTAACTCCTTATGCGTAAGCTTTGATTTAGAAAAAGTCCTGAATACTCCACATGGTAAAAGTGTTACCCTATACTATTCCAGGAAGTATGCATACTATAATGAAAGTATATACGAAAGTGGTACAAGGGAGGGTTACTGTTACCTGTGGGGTGAATGCGACGGAAAAAGGGGCTGTAATGAAATTGTTACAGTCCTTTTTAATTACTTGATTATGGTAGACCAAAGAGGTACCCATACAGAGATTAATTTATACTCCGATAGCTGTGCCGGGCAAAATAGGAATCGAGCAATGATATCCATGATAATTCATTTCTTGAAAACCGCAATTACTATTACGAAAATAAAGGTAACTTATCTTTTACCGGGACACACCATGATGCCTGTTGACTCAATTCACAGCACTATTGAAAGTTTTGTGCGTAATAAAACAGTATGGGCTCCTTCTGAGTGGCCAACTATGCTTACTAATGCTAGAAATAAGCCTAGAAACTACAACGTAAATGTTTTAAACTATGGAGACTTCATGGATTGGAAGAATTTTTCACAAGCTTTATTACCAGCAAAATTTAAGATTAATTTTAATTCATTAAGGGTGGTGCAATTTCATAAAAATAATCCTATTGTTAAATTTCAATACGGTTTTTTCGAAGATAGTGACAATTACGAAATAAACATGGATTTCATCATCAGATCGAGAGCAAACAAAGCTATTGTGGAAAAGGGACCTACACCTTTATACGCCGAAGAGCTCAAACTTTCATTAGCTAAATACAAAGATTTACAGGATCTGTGTAACAAAAATTTGATTCCAAACAGATACCATCAAGAATATTTAAGTATGAAGCATGATGAAAACGTACGTGATGCTTTAGCTGAAACAGATGAAGATGAGGAGAATTAAAAATATTTAATTTAATTTTATATTAATACAATATTGATCTCACTAATCAAAATGATTGATTTAATTATTGAATTAATGTCTTGTGTAAAAACCACGATAACCCTAGTGTTCAGTGAAAACGCGCTAAGATCATTCATACGAGAAGAAATACTTTATTTCATTTTAAATAACTAGTTAAGTTTATAATTATGCTGATTGATCTCGTTACTCTAATTGTTAAATGGAAATAAATTTTCATTTTCAATATTTTATAACTATTTCGTTTAAACGTCTTTTAAAATATCAATTCATTTATCAAAATATAGTTTATTGTATTAGTAATATTAATGGATAATTTTATCGTAAATGCCAAAACAACCTTAGATTATGACAGCAAAAATAAATTAAGCGACATAAGTAGCTTAAATACTAAATATTTTTGTATTTTTTCCATTATATATGTAAATGTCTCTATACATTTCTATTAAAACATATTTAAAAAAAACCTTCTCTTGTAAAATTTGTTTTTTGTCGGTTGCGCTAAAACGGCGGTAAAGGCTCGATATAAGCAAAGAGATCTCGGAGCAGCTCGGATAAGCGAATCTCCTAGTGGTTGCACGGTCGCCCTACCCTGCCTATTCCTATTTTTCTTTTTATAAGACACGGGCACAAACCCTTCGTCCTTATTTTTTGTTGTCAGATTAACCTCTTTTTGGCTACGTAATGGCGCAGACGTATTTATGCCGTTAGTTATCGTATCGTCAGTCTCGCCTAACACTGTTACCGTACTTGTAGTTGCAGACGGACGTTCAATACACATACGTACGTCCTCTCTCGACGACTTCTCTTTGCTACAAAAGCCGAGGTCGAGCGCGGATGCGATTGCGATGCACTCTCAGCGCTCTTCCCTCTCTCCCCTCCAAAAGTGCGTAGTAACACTGGTGATCGGTCGTTTTTTATTAAAAGCAATATTATAATAATTATAATATATTGTTGCAAGCAATACATAGATTAAAACTACTTTTACGGAATTTATCGCGTTTTATTTATTTTATTTTTAATACCCGACGTTTCGGGTGCTTTCCAGCACCCATGGTCACGGGGGACTGAGGTGACTGACGTCCCGATGTCAAAGTTAACCCGAAATACCTTCAGCTTTTTAATTATTGTCTTTGGTCCGATCTACGCAGAATGAACAACTGTATTTTGAAGTCTTGCAGTGGTATGCTTGGGTTTAGTTTTAATTTTATTAATTATAGGATCCCAAGCAGGTGGTAGTACCCAGCCTCCTTGTCTATTGAAATTAGGATGTTTTTTAATTTCAATAGCCTCACTTATCATCCTTGGTAGGAATCGGTGTTCTTTCGCGAGGATTTGTGGTGTATCAAATCTGATGTAATGGTTGGGGCCGTCTAGGATATGATCGCAAACTGCAGACTTCCCAGAACGTTGATGCTTCACGTCAGCTATGTGTTCATCATTCATGTTGTGTGTGTAATATTTTTAAACATACTGTATAGAGAAATTGTACAAGTGTGAGTACTGTGAACGTGCCAGCTTTAGTTAACTGACTGTTTGGTCTTGGTATACCACACGCCTTTTACTTGATCTGATGATGAATGATTTAAACACGATCTTGAGAAAAACAACGATTTATTGCGATTTCACAATACACGAAACTTGGTAAAAATATAAGATTGAGGCACGCGACCGTATTGGTAGGCAAACACAAACACACTCCAAAATAAAATATTAATGAATGAGGTCAGTCGCGCATAGTGTCAAATTACTAAAATGCTGACGCGGGAGAATGCACGGTGTTGCACCGTATACTGACCTATATCTAGATATACCAATAAATAATATATCTTAACTCCCTATTCTTAGGAACAGTTTGGAACCTTTTTGTTTTTTGAGTGGCCACACTAGAATAAAATTGAAAAATAATAATTAAAAGTGCCTTAATATTTATAAGAGAAAACTACTTTTTTGTTAACATAAGGCGTGTGACAACCTCGTTAAATTAGCCTCTTGTAGGGGGCCGCGCAGAGTAGGTATATTTTCATGCCTAAAGTGCGGAGTGAGACAGGCCTGATCTTATTTGTTGTTTTATTTTAAATAAAATTTAAAATAACAGAGTTGACATGTAGAACACATTGAGTGGTGATTTTAATGTAAACATGTTTAGTGTTATATACCTATCAGTTTTAGATATTATGTAGCGAATAACCACTATATATTGGAAAGTATAACTATTAAAAACATCAGTAGTTATCCAGTGTTTTATTTCTTATGCTTATATATAAAATATGGGTTTTGTTTGTTCACAAACGTAAAAACAAAGAAAGATGCAAATAAACAAGCTAAAACATGCTCAACATATTGTAACGAACTCACGCATAAATCCATCTCAAATCATTTGCAAGTAACATGTTTTGATGTAGTTTTACACGCATAATACGTGTGGTTAGTGCAGTTAACTTTTACGAATTGATAAAGAACGAAGAAGATGTGTGCGTAAGTTGATAGATGATAAGAAAATAGAGCGTGTTTCGGCAGTGTATATTTGTTTAGGTGTGTACGCACAGTGGTGGGGCGGGGCGCGGGCGCGTCGCTGCGGCGGCGGCGGTCGCTGGGCTCGCTGGAGGAGGCGGCGCTGCGCGGCCGCGCGTGCACCTCCGCTCCGGACCCCGCACGACTCGCGCCGCGTCCGCTGGACGACTGCGCGCAAGCACACACACACACACTTAACCTATATATACATATGTAAATGGATCCTCTTTTCTCCACTCCACTTTGGTATGAGATGAAATATTCGACATATTCATAAAGGGGAAGATTTTTTTTAGAAAAATGTAAGTTTTTTTTTAATATAAGTGGGGCAAACGAGCATGCGGCTCACCTGATGTTAAGTGACTACCACCGCCCATGATCAATCGCAACACCAGGGGAATTGCAGGTGCGTTGTCGGCCCTTTAGAAAGGAGTAAGCTCTTTTCTTGAAGGTCCCCAATTCGTATCGGTCCCGAAAAATCGCCGGTGGTAAACTATTCCACAGAGAGGTTGTACGCGGAAGAAAACTCCTTTTGAAACGTACTGTGGTGAACCGCCAAGCATCCAGATTGTGTGGATGGTATCGGGACGTTTGCCGCGTAGTGCGTTCACGAAATTGGGCGGCTGGGATTAATCCGAACAATTCCTCAGAGCACTCTCCATGGTATATGCGAAATAAAATGCAAAGAGATGCAACATCTCTTCGCAGTGCCAGTGAATCGAGCCGATCGGAAAGCACTCGGTCGTCGAAGATTCGAGCCGCTCTGCGCAGGTTGCAGTCAAGTGGAAGGAGCTGGTACTGGGGAGCCCCAGCCCAGAGATGGGAACAGTATTCCATGTGCGGCCGAACCTGCGCCTTGTAAAGTTGCAGGCGGTGTGCCGGCATGAAATACTGTCCCGCTCTGCTGAGCACGCCAAGCTTTTTAGAGGCCAATTTGGCCTTCTCTTCCAAGTGACCACGAAAATGCACGTCACTCAATATGTCAACGCCGAGGATTCCGATACTGGCTGAGGCAACAAGGGGAGTGCCTTGAAACTGAGGAGATACGACAAAGGGGTTCTTTTTAGCGGTTAACGCGCAAACTTGTGTCTTCTGGGGGTTAAACTGGACTAGATTTAGTCGACCCCAATCCGAGACTCTGTTCAGCAAAGACTCGACTTCAGACACAAGTTTGTCCCGGCACTCGGAGACGTTTTCCCGCGAAATATTGGCTCGGCCGGTGTAAAGAGCAGACCAGTGCTGTCATCTGCATAGCAATGAATGTTACGGGTTTGCAACATATCATTCATATGCAGAAGAAACAACGTTGGCGATAGCACGCAGCCTTGTGGAACACCAGCATTAATAGGCTTGCAATCGGAGCTTGCACCGTCTACAACGACCTTGATACTCCGATCTGCAAGAAAGCTGGTGATCCAATCGCACAATTTCTCGGGAAGCCCATAGGAAGGGAGCTTCGAAAGAATCGCTTTCTGCCAAACCCGATCGAAGGCCTTCGCAATGTCCAAACTAACGGCCAATGCCTCCCCCTTGGACTCTACTGCCTCCGCCCATCTATGAGTTAGGTAGACCAGAAGATCACCAGCTGACCGACCACGGCGAAAACCGTATTGGCGGTCACTTATCAGCTGGTGATCCTCAAGGTACCTCATGAGCTGGCAGTTTACAATAGACTCCATTGTTTTGGAGAACAAGGAGGTGATGGCGATAGGCCGGTAATTGGACGGGTCAGAGCGGTCGCCTTTTTTAGGGATCGGGTGGACGAAAGCCGTCTTCCATAATTTTGGGACTACGCCTAGGGAGTAGGAGTACCGGAAGACGCGTTAAAACCGGTGCCAACTCTGGAGCACACGTCCTCAGCACAATTGGGGGGATTCCGTCAGGCCCACTCGACTTGTGGATGCCCAGGGTGAGGAGTGCTTTGCGAACCGAGCGCTGTGTGAACTGCACTTCCGGCATGGATCACTCACACCGCGGGATGGTCGGCGGCGTACTCCCCCCGTCATCGAGAGTCGAGTTGAACGCAAAGAAAGAGCCTAGAAGATCGGCTTTCTCCTTCTTCCTTCTTCTTCTTCCTCCTTTTCCTTTGCGGTATGGGCCAGTGAGTCGTCCTCCCTGTGCAGAGATGGAAGAGATGGCTGACAGAAATTCCCCTGGACAGCCTTGGCGAGAGACCAGAATTCACGGGTTCCAGAAGGAAGGTGAACTAGTTTCTCGCCAAATCTGCCTATGTGCTCTGACTTTGCCTTGGCAAAGACTCTTTTGAAGGACCTAGAGGCGGAATTATACTTCTTTTTTATTGCGCTGGTATTTACATCCCGGGACGCTGATGCGTCAGCCCAGGCTCGGTAGCACTCCTGCTTATAGCATGATGCTATTTTACAAGAGTGACCAAACCATGGCTGAGATTTGCCTCCAATGTGCACCACAGAGGAAGGAATAAAAAGTTCCATACCCTGAAGTACCACATCAGCGACAGAATCCGCAACAACGTTGGGATCGTCCGGTTAGAAGTAAACCCGCCCCCAAGGTCAATTTTTAGTTATCTAATAATAGTTATATTTTAAGTGTCAATTTTTATTTATCTAATAATAGTTATATTTCATATTAATTAGATTAGAAATGAATAATACAATCTGCGGATATTCCTAATAGAAAAAAATGAACAAAAAAATAAATGGCAAACTAAATTATATTTTTAATATTAAGTACGTTTCAAACAAAACAACACCTTCATTCTCATAATCCTATAACAAGCGTAGATCATAATTATATAATAAGAAATTCTATTTTATATGTACCATAAACTAGTCACTACGTTTCATTTGTTTATAACAATCTATGCCTCATTCTCAACTTTTTTTTTGATAGCTCACACTGTACCCTTCATAAATGTAACATTTACATATAATTTGTTTTATGGTATCATATTCCGTTTCTACATACATATGATAATATACCTTATTAAATACCGTTTTGGTCAAGTAGTCGTAAACGCGACTGACAAACTTGAGGTACCGGGTTCGAAACCCGGGGCCGATCAACATTTTTTTAACAAGAAATTCTCCGTAGCACCCCGGAATCAGGACGTCAACGTCAACGTGTTACACCCCCGTGCCGCAAAAAACACGTTAAGCCGTTGGCCCTGCGCCTGATCTCTTTCCGGTTGTGTCGGATTGCTGTTCTATCGGAATATGAGAATGACGAAATAGAGAATGCACTTGTGCTTCCGCATACACTCGCACACTATATTCTAACTGCGCAGATAAATAGTCTATGAGGAGACTGGCCCTTTACATTAAAATATATGACTATTTCTAGTAGCGATCTAGAAAATGCATCTAACGATGTTACGGAAATTTAAAATATAGGAGATTACTGAGGCGAAAAATCGAGATTCTAAGAAAATTCGATTTTCCATGTTTTCATCCATAAAACAATAATTTCGCACATCACAGAGATTATCTTACTATAATGGCTAAAGCAAAATGTTATTCCGATGACCAGATGACAAAGAGCCAAGATTTTCAATCTTCATTATCGTTCTTTAATTACAATCCACTCGGTCTGAGAAAATCATATCATTTTTCTAACGCTGAACAAAGCTCGATTGCCCAGATACTTGTATGTTTCTAACAAGATATAAATGTTATATTTAGACCTTATTAAAATTAAACAGCCAAACTTATTACATTTCTTTAATTTTATGATTCAATCATTATATCAGATAAAATTTAATAATAATCTGACCGAACAAGAACGTCATAAATAATTTGTTTTATTTTATTTGTAAATTGTTTAACAACTATATCAAAAAGCTTGCTTACCGGTGGCGTAGTGCGGCGCAGCATGAAATACTGCGATGAAGTCATTGTTTTGTTGCTAACAGTTTGCTCAGTATCCACTGCGAAAAAATATATAAATATTAAAATGTCTCAAATACAAATGGCAAACATTAAAATGTCTTGGGGTCTCTTAAAATGGCTTGGTTGCGCAAAAACGCACTTTTGGTTAACTATATTAGCTGGTAATATCCTTCCTCTTCACTTCCGTCCCCTTCCTGCACGGACACGCCTCCAATAGAAGGAGTCATGGTGGCGTCATTCTGTTTGACCAATAGGACACGCGCTGACCGAAGTGGAAGGTCGGAAACACGCCGCCGAACCAGACTAGAGTTGTCTACGTGCCGCGGCCGCGCCGATCAGTTGCAGCTCGATTTGGAATATGACAGCACCTCTGTGCCAGTCGGGCCGCAGAAAAATTTCGTAGTAACTGCTAGCGCAGTGCTATCCGTCGTGCGCAAGTGCAATTAATTCGTCGTGGCGCTATAAACCCCATTGCTGTTATCGTCGCGCATCACCACAGTTGCAGCGTAGCGCCCTCAACCTCAAGGCCTGCGTAGGAGGCAATCAGAAGATCAACGCCCAAGTAAGTGCATTTCCTAACTTGAGCCGCTCTTATTTGTTGTTCCTTTCCCACAGCAGTTCATACTCCTGCCTCTACCAGCTGATATAGTAAATTAGGTCCTAGCAAGTGCATTGCCCACTACCGCCCACGTACCACGTCCGTCATCTTGTTTTGATTATAACTAACTTTACAAATACAGTCCACCGTTTAGTTCAATTCAGAACACCTATCGTTAACCTCATGGTTACCGGAATCGTATCGATTTAAAATTAGCACCTTACCGCCGTACCATTTTCTAGTTCCTTCTCTCCGGATAGTCACCCTAACCATTTAGTGACCATCCATTTCCGGAATTAACCCAGGAATCATTAGTGTCACCAGGGTTATTTTATTTGTAATTTGTTTTGTTATACAATTGTGTCATATAATATATTATGATTTTAAACTGTTCTTATTTAAAATAAAAATGTCCCGCTGGGTTCTTTGTTAGTTCTTCCAAAGACAGAAGTACTTCAGAACCTATGGTAAATTTAACATAAGAATTACCTTGAATAAGTATTATTTATAATCTGTATTAAATAAATGTGTGTGTACGACAAATCAAGAAAGAGTTGTTGCGAACAACTTGGAATTGTTTATAGAAACCTGCTCATGGAAGACAAATTCAAGGGAGTACCACAATTACAACAAAACAAATGCCGCCTACAGCAGGTTGCTCGAAAAATAAAGACTTAGTTTTGTTTAAACACATAATCCGGCCCAAAAACGCAAGTGCGTTATCATCTTCCATTATGGATGACATGTTCCGTGCGTTAGCTTCTGCTGACGTAAATGACACTCGACGCCGATATCGGTGGCGTATGGAGACACTAGGGGCGTTTGATTTAACTGCTTACCTTACCGTACTGCTACGATTATCGTTTGTTACGTTACACACGTTACGCAAGCATTACTTACCGTTGGCGGGCAGGTGTCTCGGCGTGTAGGCGAGGGCGGCCAACAGCAGCGGATCGAGACACAGCGCGGTGGGCTCGAGCCACGCGCCCACGTATTCCGCCACCACTTCGGATTCCGCTGACGAACCCGCTTCCGCATTCGCAACCGCGCCCGCATCTGCCTTCGAGCACCATTGCACCGCCGCGCGCAAGTATGGACTGCGTGCAAACGTAATTTTTTTTAAATTATAATGAAATAGAATAAACTTCTATTCAATATGGAACATACGTAATTATTATTGAAATTCATTTTAACTATACCACTGGTGCAGAAAAAAACCTCTGTCCTGGGAAGAACCAGCAAGAACACCAGCGGAACTATTTTTAATAAATTTTGTAATATGAATGGTTACAAACTATGTAAAGTCACCAGAGGCAAGTGTGATAAAAGTTTCTGCGCTGCGCTGGAATTTAACAAAAAAAGCATGTGTTAAGGCCGCATAATTTATATTTGTTATACTTGCCCCACTGTCACACTTACCTCAGTTACCTTACAGTATTTGATTAAAATATTACTTATCATTATGAGGTATTTAAAGAGCATTATGCTGAATAATATAAAAGAAAATGATAAATATACATTAAATGTAGTAAAAAAAATAAATGAATAATATATAAATAAATAGCAACACAACTAGATGGAAGTTCTCGTTTACGTTAATAAAGACAAAACAGAAAAAAAGCAAAATAAACTAAGATAATTACAATGTTCCCATCGAACTGTCTCACTGAGAACATACGTATTTTGTACATTATGAATCAGATCATAAATAGTTATCGTCAGCACAACAAGCAGGGTAACAAGTAGTTAATTATGTTAACAGCCAGGAAATATAATGAAAACGAAAACGAAATATCCTTATAATATATCCAATTCATAATTATTACCAAAATACTTTTTTCAACTAGGTTTTGAATGCGGAACAGTAAACAGAGAACATGTAGAGGTCGTAAAGCATTTTATTATGGGGAACACATATTCTGTGTACTTTTAAATTGTTTTTCATATTTAAGCTATTGCATAGCTTCTATCGCGGGCCTTGAGCGCGGGGACCGAATCCAGAAATTCCGTAACGAAAAAAAACCTCACGCTCCCCACTCCGACGGGCACGGAGGTGTGGCGTTGAAAGCCGTGCATCGTCTAACGTCGTTTCAGTTCGGCAAACTTCGGCACTCGGCAGAGTTCGGCACGGTGTTTGTGTGCGTGCGACTAGACGTATGCGTGTACACTAGCTGCTAACTCAATGATAAAAATTCCTGAATAACCTACATGTATTGTAAGATGTTAAAAATATTTTAAACAATATTAACTTCTCATTTATTCAATAAGAGAAAAAAAATTGTTTTCTTATCGGTCACCACTCTCAAAAAGTGTAACTTGATTTAATATCAAAGACTTAACTGCATAAATAAAATAAATAAATAATTATAATTGCATAAGTTGATAAAAAAATGCCATGCAATAGCTTTACCGCGGCAGTCACCGAGTGCCACACGTATTTTTTTTTTGTTCTTTTAAAAACGTTACCACCACACTAGGATTTTTTTCTGTATCGTGGAGGCAATTTGAATACATAAATTGCACAAAGGCAAACGAACGGACTTAAACCCGCGGCTCTCATCACTGTTACCCATTGCAAAGCGAATGCGTCACTGGTGGTAGTAAATACTACAAATTAGTATCTACTAGCACCAGCCAAATGCCCTGGTTTTTGATATATGAAACAATTTTATTGATCGTGGTCTTTGGGTGGTATTCAAAAGCCTCGGAGAACATCTGTGAACATTTAATCTCACCAACACAGATATTCCTTCAGCGTCAAGAGCGTCAGTCTTTTAATGACAGCATTTTTGATATTTAATTTTGCATTTTGGCATTTTGACAATGTAAATAATGCTCTATCGTAATTAGTACATTGGTTTAAGGCTTATAATTTGCTCTTAAATGGCAATAAGACAAAATGAATTAAATTTACTATAACTAATGTTAAAGATTCAAATACTAATGTGCCCTTAAATGGGGATTAATACGAATCTTAAAAATAAACTTGGTGTATTAGCCACTTAATGATTTTATAATGGATAAGATTGATTTGGAATTCCTTAGAATAATCTTAAAATGAAAATGACAAAAGTATAACAATTCAACAAAAGGTGTGCTTATTAAGATATACACTTACGAAGTTGTTGGCGCCTCAGGTCCAGAGAACAGCCACGCTTGCTTAAGTTCACTACCCTCTGTAGGACAAATACAATAACTTACAAACACAAATAAAATTCTATAAAATAAATTCTTACCTACTTTTTTAAATAATATCATTTTTAAAAGACGTTTTCGTAATTTCTCCAAATGCTAATAGTAAAGGATCCGGCTTAGAAAAATACACCCTCATTCTTTTCCTTGATAAAATAAAAAAATATTACAAAATATATAAATAAATACAAATCGGGGTGATTCACAGCGTATTGGCAAGGCTATTTTAATTAAAAATTATTTAATTAATTCTTTTTTACCGGTTACGGTCGTTCTTTTCCTTGATAAAATTGATTTCTCTCTCCTCTCTCTCTCTCTCTACCTACCTCTCTCTCTCTCTCTCTCTCTCTCTATATATATATATATATATATATATATATATATATATATATATATATATATATATATATATATATATATATATATATATATATAGACACACAGCATGGTTGATTTTTCAATGTCGCAACACTAGCTGTAGGGAATGCACGAACACGAGGCGCGCGTTCAGTTCTCTGTGTAATAGAGAAAGATAAATATATTCTCCCACCGAATATTATTTTGGAGCAATCCACGCATTAGTATTCACTTAAAAAAATCTTACTTTATTGGTATAATAAATTGGAATTTTTTTTCAGCATACTAACAAAATTTAAGTAATATTGACTTATTTATGTACCTTTACAAATTGCATATTATAATAATAATCAAATAAAAAATGATACACTTAGTTATTCAACAATTTAAATAAAAATTAAGGTTAACTTCATTATTAAACAGTTACAAATTGAAAAAAAAAATTAAATCAGTTAATTGTTATGAAAATACGATTTATTTTTAAATTATTAACCATTCCTACCATACAAAAAAATAATAGCAATACCAATTTAAAGGTAGCAGCCCTGTGTCCAATAACCCGCTAGATCAGTGTGATAAATTTGGAAAATATTTTTCAGTCCATAGATACTAGTTTGTGCATTCTCGAAAAGGTCTGCATTTAATAGTAGACAAATTGAAAGGCTAACATATAAGAAGAATTATAACTAGGTTGTCTTTTAGTTCAGAAATTGAAATCGGATCTTTGTGAATTAGTAGATATATGAAAACCCAAAATAATAAATATACTACACAGTAATTGTATTTCATCACATACGGTATAGGCTGTGTATTCGATGGAATCAACGCGATTTAACATTAACGATGGAAATACAACTGAACCAACTACGTGCACGCAGCGCCATGGCTCTGACGGCGTGCAGCGACGCGATGTGCGTGTTCACATTCTTAGTGAGGTAGCCGCGGATTGTGAGCTCCTCCAGCGTCACGTCCACTGCCACTGACTCTGAAATGATAAATAAACGATTTTGTCACAAAACTTTTAATTCCGGCAGCTCTATAGATTTTTTTCAATAACAATGTAAAAACGAAAAAGATATTCAATTAAAAAAAACATTATACCCACAGACGTATAGCCATCATAAATATCGAAAAAATTTTCTGGTCTTTGTCATTCAAATCAGTGTAGTTTTATTTAGTAAAAACACGTGCGTGAAATTGAGGCACACGTACCAACGTACCAGATGTAATGAAGCGAATGAAACATTTTCATTTGCCTGTGTTTGTTGTGTAGCATATAGCGTGTAAACGCGAGTAATAGTACGTTATTTAATAAATGTTGCCAGTCAAGCGTCGTAACACTCGCGCACAAGTACTCGCAATATTATCTTATGTGAGATAAATTATGTAATGAAGGTGATTTTGTTACAATTATTTTTTTTATAAAAATCTGTAGTGACAAAAGAACTTGAAACTTGCAGCCAACTTTAACTAATAATGCTACAAATGTGTTATCACCGGACTGAGATTTAGTTCCTAGAATAAATTAAAGAAATTGCTTTTCTATACCATTCAGACCTGAGACACTGGTGGTAGGACACCTACCTAAACGTACTCCTAGACAGAAAAAAGTGTCCTACCACTTAGTAAAAGTTGTATGTGTAGTGATTGTGTTACAATAAAATAAAGTTTCTAAGTTATTAATAATTAAGTTATAAGTAGCGCAACATCAACGGTACCTTGGTCGTTGAGCGCGTCAGTAGCGAGCGTGGAGTACGCGAGTAAAGGCGAGCGGCGCGCGGCGAGCAGCTCGACGGCCGCTCGCAGCCGCGCGATCGAACCGCACACACTCGCCTCGCCTGCGGGCACGGACGCACGTACATGATAGTTTTTCGAAATTAGAACTCGAGTAACGTCACTATTACATATTTATTTTTACTAACATTTTTAAGATAATTCAATATCTCATCTTGTCCCGTGAATGTCTTGAATGGCAAATATAAGAGATTCTAGAAAGATCTTAAAGACTCAGTGGTTTTTTGGGTTGGTCTTGAAAAAAGAATTAACGAAAAATAGTAACAAAGCAAATGTTGCAGAAGTGAAGGGCAGAGGCGAAAAGGACTCAATAGACGAAATTTATTGACGAAATTGGCGACATATTGAAGATGGGCCAGATTAAAGGCCGATCCTCATTTGCCGTTCACAAATAGTTCTCGGTCCAACCTCCGTCTGATTTATCATATTATCGGAATGGGATTCGAGCGACACTTGGCTGTTACGGATAGTATGAATGCACACACATATTTTTTACTTGATAATATTTTATCAGACCGAGAACGAACTGTGAACAGCATTATAATGAGGATCGGCCCTAAGAGTACCCTTAACCGATTAGCATGTATGTAATAAATAACATAAATGTAAAGGAGGCGAGTAAGGTGTGTAAGGGTCATGCCAAATGGAAGTCCGCAGTAAGTAAGTCTTAAGTAAGTAAGTCCGTAAGTAGTCCCTGCTTTCCCCTCCGGGTAACAATTTAACCGTCTCATTTACGCAAGACGTAAATACCCAAACCGGTTAATACGCATGTCATACGTGGCATATGTGATAAATACTCCCTACAACGGAGAAGGGACCAGCGGATATTTACTCATCACTCAAGACATACATATTAAACCTCAATTGGTACGTTTAAATATAACTACAAAAAACACTTACTAAATATTTATTAACGTAATATAATGACATAATATGTAAAATATGTTTTTATATACTTTTCTATTCCGTTTCTTTTTCATTTTATATAAGTAATTATTGAAAGAAAAGAAAGAAAGAAACATATCTACTTAAAGCTACTTATTACATAACTGCAACACATGCATATATATAAATTTAAACTACATTCGGATTGTGCCGCGGTGTAATAACGATAGCGCTGATATTCTGCCGATGCGCTTTTTTAGAACTCACGAGCAACCGCCAAACATGTTTTTTTATATATATAAATACAAATGAAATTGAAAAAATAAAGACTAGAATAAAATAGAAAATAATAATAATAATAAAATACCTACAGTGCATAAAAAAGATTCTCATACAACAAATTATGAAAGTAATACTAATTAAATAATGTTTTATTAAAAATATTCCTATCATAATAAGGAATATCTCCTCCTCCTATATCCAAGAATAGTATGCTTTAATATCAATATTTGTTCTAGTCAAATATGAGCATGAGCAAAAATCAGTTCAAGGTCAAACTCGTGTGGCCGTGAAAGGAAAAGGGGAGATCTCCCGCCGGGCAAGGTGTTCTGCCCGGGGATCGGCCAACACTCCGTGTGATAGTTCGGAGATGTTCTATATATACTGTTCATGATTCGGAATGTTGATAGACCGTGATTTAGGCTTCGGTGTGTTTCGGTGTGCTAGTGGCGCGATGACAAGCGCCGCTACATCACCCCTACTGCTCAGACCGGAGGTCGATAGTGCAGCCTCGTTGCCGACGAATGTGCAAGTGCCAGGAAATTGCCTTGTAGTCTGCGGTGAGTCGAGAAAAAGGCAAGTAAATCTGCGAGAGTGTTGTGAAGCAGAGGCGAGCAGTAAGGCTCAGAGCCGTGCCGAACACTGTATAGCGCAGAGAGTAGCTCAGTCAGTCAAATTGATAGCAAGGTCAGTCAGCTAAGTTTTGCAAGACCGGCGCAGAAGAACACATAACTCTCCGATCACACTCTTAATCCCATGTTACGACTGTTAGTCGGGAAATGAAACTGCAGTCTTCAACAGATTTAACAGCATACAGGCAACTGAACAGAAAGTTCTCCAAATGCATGCGGCGGGGTCACCTTTTTTGTAACTATATACCAGATATAAAATATGCTATTGTCGCTAGCAAATTGTTGTAATTATAAACTAATCTTCTTTCTTTCTTTCTCCTTTCTACATAAATACATTAAAAGGTAACACGTGGGAGTAACTATTGAATATTTGACAGTAATTATGGGCTTAATTAAAATGTTTGTGCATATTTTATTTTAGTTAATACTTGTTAACGTTGCTCCATAATTAGAACGGATAGATTAAATGCATGTTGGACACAGAAGGTAGAAAAAAAATCAAATAAAAATGAGAATATATTTTAAAACCGGCGGACATCTTGTAGGGCGTGTTTTCTGAAGTAAACTTATTTTTATACGTTTGAATACTCCTTCTGAGAAAATTGTCTACAATAACAATATATCTTTGGAATAATTTTTGTGTTAGTAGTACATAGTCAGTTAGTATAGTGTAGTGGGTACTGACCGAGGCTAAAGGTGTAGTTGTGTCGCACAGTGTTCGCGGGGAAGAGGTGCGGGTGCAGCAGCGTGCGCGCGGCGACACGCAAGTGAGCGCGCGCGACGGGCCGCTGAGCACCGCGCTCAGCCGCGCGCACGCCCACCGCAGCGCCACGCACCCGCGCAGTAACATGCGCGCGCGCGCCCGCCCCCCCCGCGCCCTCGTCCTCCGGCAGCTGGCACGCCGCAGAGCACACCCTGACCCGTACACAGAACATGTTGCGGACACTACAAAACTCTTACCTAAGCTACTTAATACCACAAAACACAAAATCATTACTCTCAAACTCACTTTCTGTATACTGAACACTTAGCTGATATTTAATGACCAAACCGTAACAAATACAAAACAATATTACTACTTCGACCTTCCTATAACACTTTAGCACTCTATCGCGAGAGTATCAGGCGACAGAGGCGTGAACACGCAACGTTTTCTTTACGACACTTCCATAACTATACGAGCGTACTCTGTCACGAGTGAGCCCTGATAGAAACGGACGTCAAAAACGTGTGTGATGCACACAAGGTAAAAGTAAACCTTTAAAAAAGTAGGTCACAGTGGGGGAGGCTATGAAACACTGCACAAAGAAGAAAACAAGACAGTAGGAAATACTGTATACTGTATACTATCTCATTCTCTCGCAGACTAAAACCTATAGATGTAAACATTTCTCTCTATTCACTGTCACTTTTTAATTTCATAGAGTTTCAAATCACGATTCTGAAGATATTTTCACTAAAACTACATCCATTTTTTTTTCGTTATACGCAAGGGACACGTGCAACATGTTTAAATATTATACGACCGTGCTCGGGGACTGACTGCTTAACTATATGAGTCGACTGTTTAACCCAAAAATAAATAACCAATCCACAAAGGCGAGCATAAAAAAAGAAATCATCAAAAAATTATAAGATAATCGCGAGGAATACGATGCCAGTGCATTCTGTCACCGGGCTACAAACTCGCGACAGAGTGCGCTCCGTAGGAGTTAGAGTATCGAAAGTAGTGTTTTGTTGCGTAAAGAGTAATGGCTTGGTCATAAAAGATCAAGTGATTGTGATATTAAAAAATAAAATATATGTGCTACAGCCCTTCACAAGTCCACTGCTGAACATAGGCCTCCCCCAAGTAATGCCACAAAGCACGGTCCTGAGCCACCTGAATCCATCGACTTCCTGCATGTCTTATCAGGTCGTCACTCCATCTAGTGGGGGGTCGTCCTACACTACGCCTACCGGTACGAGGCTGCCACTCGAGAACCTATCCTCCCCATCGGTTATCGGTTCTTCGAGCTATGTGGCCGGCCCATTGCCACTTTAGCTTACTAATCCGTTGGGCTATGTCGGTCACTCTGGTTCCACTGCGGATATTCTCATTTCTGAGTTTATCACGCAGAGAAACTTCGAGCATAGCCCTCTCCATGGCTCGCTGAGCGACCTTGAGCGTCCTCATACGGCCAGCAGTGAAGGACCACGTCTCAGATCCGTAAGTCATCACTGGCAACACGCACTGATTATACAATCTAGTTTTCAGAGTTTGAGGTATACCTGACGAGAAGATGTGTCGTAATTTCCCGAACGCCGCCCAGCCGAGTTGAATCCGTCGATTGACCTCTCGGTCGAAGTTGGACTTACCTAGTCGAACTATTTGTCCCAGGTAAACGTACTCATCAACAACTTCGAGCATAGTACTTCCAACAACTACCGGCATAGGTGTGACATGGACATTAAACATGATCTTTGTTTTGTCCAGTTTCATCTTAAGACCTATCCGTTGGGAGACACCATTGAGGTCATTGAGCAAGTGCTTAGGTCCTCCAGCGATTCTGCTATAAGGACTATATCGTCGGCAAATCGAAGGTGAGTGATGTGCTCGCCATTGATGTTAATACCGTATCCTTTCCAGTCCAGTAGCTTGAAAACGTCTTCCAATGCAGAGGTGAAGATTTTCGGGGATATAACGTCACCCTGTCTTACACCTCTCTGCAGTTGGATAGGTTTCGAACTCCGGTTCTGTACTCGGACAGCCATCGTAGTCCTACTGTACAAACACTTCAGCACTTCGATATACCGACAGTCAACTTGGCACCGCTGGAGGGACTGTAGCACCGCCCAAATTTCGACGGAATCAAAGGCTTTCTCATAGTCCACATACGCCAGGCAAAGTGGCAGATTGTACTCTTCGGTCTTCTGTACAATCTGCCGCAGGGTATGTATGTGGTCTATGGTACTGAAGCCTTTTCGGAAACCGGCTTGTTCGGGAGGCTGGAAGTCGTCGAGTCTGCGTGCGAGACGATTCGTAATGACTCTCGAAAACAGCACGTAGACGCGGCTCAGAAGGGAAATCGGTCTGTAGTTCTTCAAAAGAGCGTTGTCGCCTTTCTTAAAGAACAAGACCACCGCACTTCTGCTCCACGCCTCCGGAGTAGTGCCACCATGGAGGACGGAATTGAAGAGCTTCTGAAGGACTTCAAGTACCGGTGTTCCACCCGCTTTCAGAAGCTCCGCTGTAATTCCATCCTCGCCTGGGGCCCTGCCGTTTTTAAGGTGCTGGAGAGCCATTCTAATCTCGCTCAGACTGACGTCCGGGATATCATCGGAATAGTGTCGGGTAAGACTTGCTCTTGTATCGTTACTCACACTTGCGTGTGGCTCCAACGATGATGTGTACAGCTGCCCATAGAACCTCTCAATCTCACTCAAAATCTCAGGTGTCCCGGAAACGATGCTGCCACACTCAGTCTTCAGCTTTGACAGTTGGCTCTTTCTGGCAGACAGATCTCTGGCAAAGACTTTGGAGCCCTGGTTCCGCTCGATCGCTTCTTTAATACGAGCAGTATTACAGTTGCGTAAGTCTCGACGCATGCATTTGGAGATCTGTCTGTTCAGTTGCCTGTTTGATGTCAAATCTGTTGACGATTGCAGCCTCATCTCCCGTCTAACAGCCATGAGATTAAGAGTGTGATCGGAGAGTTTTTGTGTTCTTCTGCGGCGGGTCTTGCAGAACTTAGCTCCGACCGCATGGACAGTTTCCACGAGCTTGTCATTCATATCGTCCACTGCATTGCAATCTTCTAGGCACTGCAAGCGGTTACGTAACTCGAGCTGAAAAGTCTCGGGATTCTGGATTAGAGCACGAGGGGGACGGAGCGTTGACTTCATTAGACGAGACCTCTCCAACTTAACGTTTAGGTTCAGTTTGCCTCTAACCATTCGGTGATCGCTGCCGGTTTTCACCCTTCCGATCACTGAGACATCACTGAACAGTTGGCGTTCGGCCGTCATAATGAAGTCAATCTCATTTTATGTCGAACCGTCGGGGCTCGACCAGGTCCACTTCCTGTGGGGCCGCTTCTGGAAGAAAGAGTTCATCATAAAGAGTCCCTCTTTCTCCATAAAGTCAGCCAGCTGCTGGCCCCTACGGTTCCGTTGGCCTACTCCAAAGTTCCCCTAACTTCAGCTCACCGCCTTCTCTTGTGCCTAGTTTTGCGTTGAAGTCTCCCATCAACACCATGTAGTGGGTTTTGGGACAAATATCCTCATACATTTCCTCCACCTCCTCATCGGGATGTGCCGAGGTTGGTGCGTAGACCTGTATGACCTTCAGCGAATACCGTTTGGTGATTCTGAGTATCAGGTACGCGACCCTCGTCGACACACTCCCAATCTTTACAACGTTGTTGACCAGAGACTTGAGACGATAAATCAGACACCTCCTTGGGACAGATGGTCGCCCTCCCGGTGATAGAACAAGTTGCCGGACTCGAGGATTACCGTGTCCTCCCCCTCTCTTCGGACCTCAGATAATCCAATAATATGCCAGCGCAACTTGTCTACCTCTTCTTCCAGCTCCAGTATCTTCTCGTCAGTCCTCAGGGTGCGTGCGTTATACGTTGCTAGGTCGAGCCGTCGTAGGTGGCAACCGAACCTCCACCGGAGATTCTTAGATTATAATACCCCCTGCCCCGCCGTTACCATGGTCGCCACCGTAGCCAGGAACAGCGGGGCCGCCGGGGACTGGGGGCCGTTTATTTGTGTCGTTGCTCATGGGGGGATATTTGCCATAGTTGCCACGCTTGGCGAGCGGGTTGGCAACAGCAGTTTTTTATTATGTTATTGTTGTTATTAGGAAGATGCTGCTGCCCATCTCCTTTCTGTTTCCCTCTGTCGCCTCTCACGACACCCACGGGAAGATATGGGGTAGTGGATATTCTCAACCGCCACTACACGGCTTAAAAAAAATATAAATTTCAACTATTTTATTCTTATAGATAGACTTTAAAAAATACTTCAAAATATGAATAAAAGATCCCTATTCCCACAACAGTTAAATTTCTTAACTGCCTATAATGTATCAAAAATAGAAAGTAACTTCGTTTTAGGATTAAAAGAGTTGAAGGTAAAAGTGGGAGGGATTTTTTTATTCATTCGTCACAGCCAAGCAAATATCCACTGCCAAGGTTAATTTTACCATATAGCAGATATATTTGCGACATTTTTTTACTTTTTTGAGTTGCTAAGCTGCTTATTTCATGATTCATTTCCCTCCAGCACTCCTAACAATATCCACATGATAATATAGCGCAGTGTATTGTCATCTGAGGCCGCTATTACGCGTTTATTCAGGGAGATACACTAATAATTTTCCACTCCCAAATGTATCATTTTTGCTTCAAACGTCTGGTCAGAACTTATATTCAAGAGTTTCATACAGCTTTATAAATTTTCCCTTCAAGTCATTATGATAATAATATCTAAAAAGAAGTAATTATTACATCAACGTATAACAACGGTACATTCTCTCGGCCAACAATGTTAACAACTTGTTTTCTGCAAACACTATTCAGCGAAAACACAAAAGGATTAACTTATCAAAAATTAAAGAGAGCAGCTAGGGTTTATCAAAGGGCTCAGTCCAAGTACACGGCAATAGTGCAGGGTCAATATATTTGTTAGGACAGCAAGTTACCTATTGCATCTCATTGCACGAGAACGTTCTCAACGATAAGGGTCAATGGCATCTGACAAGTAATGAAATGTGTAGGTTTATAAATAGAATATACTTAATCTATTGATGCAAGTAAGACGCAACCTAACATCTAAGTACATATATAAAGCCTCTTCTCCTTTGGATATTGTCACAGATATGTAATCGCGAGTGTTCTAATATTTTTCTGTTATATAAGCTAGAGAGCATAGGTAGTCGAAGTAAGCAGATTTAACTATTTGCGAACGATTTAGAAAATCGATGCCAATGCTTAAAAATCGGAAAGATTTATTAGCTCTGAACAAAAAATACTCATTTGGTGTACTTCTAGGCAGTGTATTAGAGCCAACCCTATTTTTGATATATACCAAATTAACTCAGGTAAAATAATATCTTATTATTTTACCCGAGCTTAATTTTTTTTCAAAAATACAATAGACAAGGTTTATTTATGTGCATAGCAAGGAAACAAATGACTCCAGAAAAATATATTAATTCGCTATGTATTAAAAGGCGCAACATTCCGCCCTATCTTATTCCCGTCCCATCTCTTACATAAATCCTGTAGCGTTAGAAGTGTGAGACGTCAACGACGACAAGAAGATCCCCAATAGACCTTCCCCGACGAAAGCCATATTAATGGTCACTGAAGAGGTCATTTATTTCAACGAATGTCAACAGCAACTTAATGTTTAATATTTTTTCATAACTTTACAGAGTATGGAGGTGATGGCATTAGGTCGATAATTACAGGGATAGGCACGACGACGAAGGGTTCTTGGGTACTGGTCGCACATCGGCAAGCTTCCAAGATTTTGGAACCGTTCGAGTTTAGAGAAAGAGGTGGTACAGGCGCGTCAGAAATGAGAAAACTCAGGCGCACAATGCTTTAGTACCCATGCAAGAATAACATCAGGTCCACTGGCTTTGTTCAGGTCTAGGTTTTACAAAATTCTACGTGCCTCTTTCGTGTGGATAGCGATCTTTGGCATCGAAGAATCACAGCGACGTAGGGTTGGCGGTTGTTTAAAGCCAGCAGCCAGGGAATTTCTCGCAAACAAAGATGCAGGACTGCAGACAAACAAACACACAGCACAAAAGCACAAGAAACAGACCAAAAAAAAAAAACGCGACGGGCCGCTGAGCAGTCTGCGTACCCCAGAGCCCCATACACTGCCCGAGGGAGTCTCTAACTGTACAGTCAACCTTGTACAACTCGAGCCATGTATGAGGCACCGAGTCGAATGCCTTTCTGTAATCTATTCAAGCGGCGGAGAATTTCGACGGCTGCGTTTAACCACCTTGCCAATGACGCGTCAATGAGGAGTGGTTATCGTTGGTTTCAGAACCACCGCCCCGCAACGACATCCATTATGAGCGCGTGACATCACCTGACTTAAGTTCAATTAGCGAATGATTCTTGCGCTCAAAAGGGATGTTAGTGTTCTATATATGGTCGGTAGTTACGTGATGGGGCGGTATTTGCTCAGGCCTGTAGTATCCTGGTCTTTTGGAACCAGATGAATGATCCCGTGATGAAGGTTAGGTTCGGGAGCTACTTCCGGTCGAAAGCCACTTGAAACTGTCGTGCGAGCACAGCGTGACATACCATAAATCCCTTTAACTAGTAGTGATGCAGTCTGTCGAAGCCCGGACTTTTCCAGTTCGGGGCTTACGGACCGCCTCAGCTACGTCGTCCGTCGTTATGATAATGAGATCCATGTGCGTGACATTCGCACACTGGCTTACCACATCTTCTGTCCAAGGGCCCTCGCTATGTTTTACGGGCTCTGATCACTCTGGAAGAGACAATTCTGGTTGAATTGTGTCCACCTCTCAGTATATCGCCGGATTCGCTTCCCCCAAGCAACGATTCTCTGCTTCAGGTCGTCTATGCACTCTGTCAGATTTTTCGTAAATATTTCACTTTTTTATTATTGTTAATTATGACCTACCCGTTAAAAGAGTAGAATGGCCTGGACTGCCCTAGAAAGATCTATATTCCTTTTATCGAGCATAAAAGCGTGCGATTAGGGAACTCACTTAAGCTTACCGATTTCGGGTGACGTAATTATATACTTGTTGTGTGGTGGAAATTCCAAAAGGAACCCATTTCTCACCCTAATCGGCTTTATTACTCAATCTGCATGTAATGATATGCTACAGTTATACATAACAATCGGACGAATAAGTGTGTCAGGACATCAAGTCGTGACCCTCGTACTTTAAATACAGCGACATACCTGTAAGGGTATAATGGGCCAACGTAGGTGGCGTCTATATGTGGCAGGTCGAGGTCGAGTAGTAGTGGAATGGGCGGGGCGGCCTCGTCGTGATCCCAGGGCAGCAGGAGCACGTGCAGCCCATGTATTTCCACGCTGTACCGCTTCTGTGGCAGGTTCTCGGAAAGCGCCTCGCACTCTTCCACTGTCAGTGTGCGCGTCGGCATCTCTGCGCACGCCAATTTTTACAGTTAAAAATAATTGAAGTGCAGTTGTCAACCAGTCTATCAATCGTGACAGCTTTAGATACGATGACAAACGAGCACACAGTCCACCTGATGGTAAGTGGTTGCTGCGTCCCATAGACATCTACATCTATCCTCGATTACGAATCAAAATGCAGATGCGTTGTCACCCGTAAGTACTAAGATGGAATGCCTCCTTTCCAGAAAAAAGGGGTCTCCGGTTCTCTACACTCACCATACAAAATTAAGCTAAGCTGTTTTACGCTGGTACTCTGTGAGAGTTTGGTCCTTCCCCGACTACTAATATAACTGCAGCATGGCTCTACAACGTAGCACAGTAGCTATGGCAAACTTTACCTCTATGAGGCAATTTATAGGGGAGGTGTATTATCAGCAGTGGACTGCTGCCACTTCACATTAACTTATATAAATGAGTTTTTTTATAAAAAAAAATAATATTAACAATTCTATAAACATTACTAATATTCCCCTTAACCACTTGTGGTAAGCTTAAATTGTTTGTGTTACGAGTGGTTCACGCCAGTAGTCGAATGGCGTATTCGAACCTTTTTGAGTTCGCGGTCCGCGCCCTGCCATTAGGCTACTGTCGTTGACATTCTGTGATGATTCAGCTAATCACATCATTGATAGTTTCTTGTTAAATTTTACAATGCAATATTGTTCTTACAAGAAATTTAAAAATGATACGTATTTGAATATTCAATATCCGTTTCGAAATTAAGTAATAATATTTTGGTGTATACAACAAAGATTCCTCTAAATGCTAGACGCCAAAAAATAAAATAATGTAAAATAAAAAATACATGGCGCACTAAGTTTTTAGTCGACTACAAGCGGTCGTGAAGACTAATTTTTTGTTTTGTAAACTGGGAACGATGTGAACAATCTAAAATTGAGTATATTTAATGTAAATAAGAATACTGTCAACTTGATTAGAAATTTATTACAGATAAATATGTAAATTTATTTCGTAGTTGCCTAAATAGTAACAGTCGTAACGAAAATACACCTGCGGAGCATCACTGTCGTGGCAGGCACGCACCCGCCCACGCCTGTGCACGCGCGATCCCCAGCAGTGTCACAGTTTTTGTATATTGTCGAACAAAAACACCTATTTTTTTGTATTTATAAATAGAAATCTTTGGTGTATACTCAGCAAGTTTTTCAAATACAGATTAAACATAAGTGTAAAATCATAGTGTATGTTTGGTGGGGTGGTGAAGCAATAATTTGTTACCGGGGTTGTGGTAGTGGTGAGGCGATGTAATGGTGGCGGCGCGGCGCACGGCGTCCAGGCGGTGCAGCAGCGCGCCGCACAGGCGCACTCGCAGCGGACGCACGCGCACGTGCACTGTCCGCTCCTCCGACCACTCGCTATAAGCAACATCGCAACGATACATCACAGCCGGATCAAACGCTTGTATGCTCCACAAGTGCTTGTACCGGGCTCGAGTACGGACACGGACGCACCGTGTGCTATTTGTAAAGCACTGCGGAGACCCATAGGATCCCATCCCAAACTCCACGAGCTTTCTCAAGACTGAGCTATCAATCTTAATTTTAAAAATTAATTTTAAACTAAATCCCTCCTTATACGCTGAACATGTAATCACATATCCATGCGAAATTTGAACTCTTACATTTTTAACCAACTTCAAAAAAGGAGAAGTACCGAAGACCGTATGAGAATTTTTTGTGTGTTATCTTAGAACTGTTTTCAAGGTGAACCGATTTTGATTATTCTTTTTTTATTTAAAGGCTGATGATGCTTCTCAAGTGATCCCATATAAATTTGATCAAAATCTAACCTGTAGTTTTTTTTTTTAATTTTCATTATTGCGTATTTAATTGACTGACTACATTGATGATGTCCACATTTAATTTATATTGAAATCGGCTCTACAAAAAATTTAATTTTACCACTTGTTGATCGGATTTTCCTATAAATCCGTGGTCAGAGTAAAAAACAGGATGAAATGCGTGAAGGTTAAGGTATTCATTTAAAAAAGTTGGTATATCATCTTACTTGCTCACACACCATTTAAGTTAAATATTGATTATTGTACTCGTCATTTTACTAGCAGAAAATGAATTTACGGTGGCGAGAGACTGATTGGATTATTAAAAGGAAGGGTACACTCGTCACACTTCGTTTTAATAATCCAATGAATGAAAAGTGTAGAAATTCAATATCTCAAGTTTCGAGTTCGGTTTGACAAAGCATGACATGCCAAATATGCTACATATACAGCATAGAGACCATTAGGTTATACGAGATAGCTATATAGTAAATCTAGAGCAGTAAACCGCAAAATAAAATATTTTTAATTAGCGACCAACTGTAGCTGCGGAAAACTGAACAAAAATTGCAGCAACCCAAAGCTTTTCTCTCTAAGAATTTTCTAAAAATATAGAACATTTTACATTTATCTATATAAAAATAAAATTCATGAAATACCATCAATATTAGAAAATTCTGACACGTCCAACGAAAGAATGCGATCACGACGTCTGTAAGTTGGTCATGACTAGATTCTAGTCATCGTGACTAGTACATTATTATGCACCAAACAAGGTACAACACAATCTAAGTACAATTTAGTGCCAATGTCAATATAATAAGCGTGAACAGTCAATTAAAAGAAATCCGGCTCACAAGAAAATCAGAACGGGAAATATAGGAGAACGTAGTAGCACAATTTTTACCATAAATAGAAAATAGACAAAACTTTTACTTTTTTTTTTTCAAACATATTTACTCATATTACGCTACTTGCCTTCGCGCGTTTGGTTTGGGCGCCGTTTTATAATATTATTAACTTTATTACTACATTCTTTTATTATCACTCTTTTATTCGAAAGAAAAACGCATTATTGTATAGTGTAACGACAAATAACGCTACTTTTACCTGCTATTTTTTGTACATCACTACAAAAATAAACCCTGTTACATATATCCTTGTAACAGGGTAATATTTATAAAAAATATAGTTTTCTTATTTATTTAATATTAAACTTGACATAATGATATATTATAAAGTTAATTTTAAAATAAATTATCTCTTAGTATGTTAAATAAACTTTTTTTACATCTTAAATTCAACGCCACATCAAAAGTTATGTCGTCCGTTCGGTCACGACCTATCAGGATCGCATTCTTTCGTTTAGCGCACTTTAATTGCAATGGTAATCTATAAATACAAAACTGACTAAAATATTATTACCTGTATTCAAAGTCGAGCGGCGGGTTGTCATAGGGATTAATGAAAGTGTCTGGTGGCGCCCTCTCGTGGCTGAAGTCTAGGAATACGACTGGCTCCATCTTAGTCCACAACTTGTCATTTTCGTCGTTATGTTCGCGACCATAATCGCGAGGTTCTGGCTGCTGGTCCGTGTCGTCGACATTCGGGTGCATTGGTTCCTGTTATAGTATTTTCGTTTCATAAATAAAAAATGTTGCTTGAGATTGAACACGACTGAAGTTTACTCCTTAAGAACGTTAATATCCAATTAATCAGGTTTAGGTCATCCAGCGTCTATTTTACGTAACACTCACCTTGAGATTCGACCAATATAAACCGTTTATACAAATATATAAAGTATATAGAAGCAACATAATGACTTCACTTATTGTTAATGGTCAATATCGCACTCTATCTCATTTGTGTACCGCGGGCTCTACATGAAAATTGATTCTTAAGGAGTGAACATCAAAAAATATTTAAGAGTAAGCTAAAAAAGCTATCGAAACAGTAATTTAAACTTTTTTTCTAACTGAGAAGAATTTCATATCGGCAAAAATGTCAAGTTGTAATTCAAAATAGCGCACGCTCACAGTAACTTCAGGCGATTCACGAAGTTGTTCGTCAGCTGCTACCGCGGTCTCGATCTCTTGATTGTTGAGGTCTTCTTCAGGCCACTCCCAGGATTCATCCGTGTCGTCTTCACAGTTGCTTAGGTATGTTGTTGCTTCACCGTAGCCCTGCATTTTGATATTTTTTAATGAACACAGTCATACAATCAAAATATAAGGATAATGGTTGCGCCAAACGCACTTTTAGTTGACTATATTAGCTGGAAATATTTCCTTCCTCTTCACTTCCACTTCCTTCCTGCAAAGGCATGTTCAATAGAAGGTAGACATGGTGGCGTCATTTTGCGCGACTAACGAGACACGCTGGGCGAAAGTGAAAGGAAAAAACACGCCACCGGCCGACCAGAGTTGTCGACGTGCCGCCGCCGCTCGGCCAGTTGGAGCTCGACCTTAGATGTGATTGCATTTGTGGCAGACGGTCCACAGAATAATTTAGTAGTGAGCGCTTTGCATAGGCAATTTTCGTCATGCACAAGTGCAGTTATCGCTGCGCATCAGCTCAGTTGCAACGTAACGCCATCAACCTCGAGCCCTGAGTAGGACGCAATCAGAAGATCAACGTCCAAGTAAGTGCATTTCCCATTTCGAACTGTTCATTTGTTGTTCTTTTTCTATAGCAGCTCATGCTCTTATCCCTGCCAGCTGATATAGTAAATTAGGCCCTAGCAAAGTGTATCGTCCAAAAAATTTGTTTTGGTTATAACTAACTGCGAACATACAATCCATCCATCGTTAATCTCTCATACAAATCTCGGGGTTATTATTCCCAGAATCGAACCCGTGACCCTGTGGCCCAACCAGATATTAAAAGGTGAATATATATAACATAGAATGCAATAAATGCAGAATGTGTTGTAAGAATAATGTTTGTTAAATAATATCAAACAGTTAAAGAAAACGTGCCTGAACACTACGTGACCATTACGTACATATTCTAAAATGTTGATCATGAAATGATCAAGGAAGTGATAAAGATAATTTTAGTTAGTAAGATTGCAATAAGGATAATTCCGATTTTATGAAAATCAAGGTAACATACAATAAAGAGGTTTATTTAAATGTATAGTGGTAGAAATTGCACAAAAATTGATTTTTGGTCGGTGGCAAATTGGGAGTTTTATTTTTTTAAATAGGCGATCGTTAATTAAAGAGCCCTGCCGTTTTGTTTTGTTAAAACTGTGACCACATAATATTAAATAATTCCTTATAAGCGGTTTGGACTGGCGAGCGCACACCCTTCACTGGCAGTTTATTTCAGAACACAGAACATAGACACTGCACAGGATACTATAAAAACAATTATTTTTTAAGAGTGTTCGTAAGTACTAGTTTTTTTTTTTTGAAGCCATATAAGTAAAATATGGGGCGATTCTCGACTAAACGGAGTGGTGACCCGATAGAAACACGCAGATAGTCGTTTAATGCTGGCAGTTTAGGAGTGTAACTTGTGGCAATTTATAAAGCAGGTATGTTCAGTGTACTTGTGACGGGCTGTAGTCTATGAGCATATTTTTTATAGAATACTAGCTGTTCCCCGCGACTTCGTCTGCGTGAAATTTATTACGATTGAATTTTGTAAGTTTGAATTTTTAGCGCAAAACCCTAATTCATTATATAAAATAAAAGTAGCCTAAGTTACTTCATATAACATCAGCTGTCTGCCGGTGGAAGTTTTGTCAAAATTGGTTCAGCCATTTTGAAGACCAGCCGGAACAAACAGAAGCACTGACACAAAAACTTTAAAGTGTTTTTAATTTATAACTATGCGACGCATATATATAATATAGCTATGCGACGCATATTCTCTCTGACTTGAAAGACAATTATCAGTTTCTGGTGAAGTTTCTCTATTCCGACGTTTTTTTAATGCCCTCGCCTAGGAGTTATTTCTAGAAAGTTGAGATTTTGATCTTTTGATCATTTTTTATTAATTAATCATCAGCAGGTAAATGATAAAAAAATTAAAAGTGCCTTTGTACTAAATTATTTGCTTAACTGTTGAACAGGAATTACCTATATAAAAATGTAATTGAAAAATTATAAGAACTACTAAGTTACTTAGCTGTTTGGATGGTTTATTTATGAGTTAGTACATACTGAATATAACACAAAAAGTGGGTTTAGTTGTGAAAAGAACTTTTGTTTGGTTTTAAAAAGAGTTTTTGTTGAGTTTAAATTAATTCAATATCTACTAAACGACTTTAAAGCGAGTTCAAAATATTTTCAAACAAAAATTATTCTACTCCGCACACGATCGCTGCCGACCGACCGATTTTTTTAGTATTTTTTTACACCGTGAACCACTTTAACAAAGTTTTCATACGGATCTCTAACTTTTTTGAAAATATTCTATTGCCTGAAAATGTAGGATTCTAATGGTGAAATAATTTTCCAAATCGGTCCAGTAGTTTCGGAACCTATTCAATTCAAACAAACAAATAAATCTTTCCTCTTTATAATATAAGTATCTATGCCGTATGATCATTTATATCCTTGATCATATTCTTCCAGTTATTTCCCATATCATCAACTTTTCCCTAGATTCCAGAGTTTTCCCGTCACTGTGGCGCATGACCTATGTAATTCCCTTGCCGAAAACTTACAATCCGACTTTACCCAATCACTTCAGACCTATATCCATTCTTCCTTTCCTATCCAAAATACTTGAAGCCTGTGTACATAGACAACTATCTCTGTTAGTTTATAAGAACAATTTATTAAGCCCTTTTCAGTGTGACTTTAGACCCGGTCACGCACTGTTTCCGCTTTTGTTAAGGTCATTGGTGATATTGGGGCGGGCATGGAGGACACCAAGGTCACGGTACTGGCTTTGGTTGATTTTTCGAACACCTTCAATACCATCAGTCATGACATCCTACATCCTATCCTTTCCCATTCCATGATTTCTTCTGAAGCACTAGACTGGTTTTCAACTTATCTTCGGGGACGCCAACAGTCGGTCCGGATTGATAAGTCTACATAAAGCTGGTGTGACATAAATGCTGATGTCCCCTCAAGGCGGTATTCTGTCTCCATTGTTATTTTCAGTATTTATAAATCTTATCACTCACAACCTTGAGTGTGCCCATCATCTATATGCCGATGACCTACAGTTGTATGCTCAGGCGAATGTTGACTGTGTGTCAGCCGCGGTGGATATGGACAACAGGGACCTAGAGCATATTAAGAGCTAGTGTGACAGGTTCGGTCTAACTATAAATCCATCCAAGTGTCAGGAAATAATAATAGGTAGCCATCGCACAATTAAAAAAGTAGAAACTACAACTCTACCTCCGATCATTTTCAACGGCTCTGTTTTGAAACTATGTTCTTCTATTAAGGATCTTGACTGACTCCACTTTGACTGGCATGCGCAAGTGAAAAATGTTAGCCACAAAAGTAACCGGTACCTTGCGGGATTTTTACCGCCTGAAAAACTTTCTTTCATCCGGGACCAAAACATTAATCGCGCAATCCTTAATTCTTCCCTTGATTGATTACGGTGTTTATTATTTTGATGTATACAATTTATATATTATAATACTATGCATGTACTGAATAATTTTTGATATGTAAGTTTATGTATTTTTTTATATTTATATACTTTAATTTACATACCGGGAGAAAAACCGGCGACGAGGTTCGCCACCCATCACGTTCTGTCTCCCGGAGGGGCGAAAAGTGGATTGCGGAAACCCGTCTGGCTACGCTGAATGTATGTGGAGCAATGAATGATAAGATGGATGAAGTATGCGAAATGATGAATGACAGAGGAATAGATGTGTTATGTGTAAATGAGACGAAACGAAAGGGAAAGGATGCCACTGCACACGGCACGTATACCGCGTATTGGTCTGGCGTAGACGAGACAGAACGGGCATGCCAGGGAGTCGGTTTCATCCTTTCAGAAAGAATGGGTCAATGTGTGAAAGAGTATGAATGTGTAAGCCCGAGGCTGCTATGGATACGAATGAAAGTGGGCTTAAAGAAGCTGTTCCTGCTAGGGGTGTACGCCCCAGACATGTCTAAGCCCACTTAAATCCGAGAGCAGTTTTGGGACATGGTAAGGATGGTGTTTACAAAATGTAAGGAAAATGAAAATATTATTATGTTAGGAGACTTTAATGGAAGGGTTGGGGTGAAGAGGTCTGGTTATGAAAGGATATTGGGAACGTTTGGTGATGAAAGTATAAATGAGAATGGTGAAGACCTCCTCACCGTACGTGTTGAAAAGAATCTCTTTGTGACGAATACTTTTTTTCGTCATAAGAAGATTCACATGTATACATGGGAAAGAGGTGATGATAGAAGCATGATAGATTTCGTAATTGTGGATGAAAAAATGAGGAGCGCAGTCGTAGATACAAGGGTTTACCGGGGGTCCAACGTAGGGACGGATCATTACTTGGTATTATGTCGAATTAATGGTCTTTTTAAGCGTTGGCGGCATCGGACATCTGTGTTTACCACTGCGTTACAGCGTATAAGAATAGAGAAGTTACAAGATGAAGATGTGAAAGAGAAGTATAAATGTAGACTGAGAGAAAATATTAGGTGTTTGTATGAGTTTTGTATGAATGATTTAGACTTGAATACTGTGTGGGACAATATTAAGAAAGGTTTGGTGGATGCAGCCACCGAAGTATGTGGTGTAAGTAAGAGAACAAATGAAAGGAAAAGGAATACGTTGTGGTGGGATGATGAGGTGCGGGTGGAAGTTGAATCAAAGAAGAAAGCATGGTTAGATTTACTAGCAACTAAATCTGGTAATTCTGGTGGTATGAATGATGAGATTGAAAGAAAAAAGGCAGAATTTAGACGTCTAAATAAGAGAGTAAAAGAAGTAGTTGAAAGGAAAAAGAAAGAAAGAACGGATAAGAATGATAGAAGGATATCTGATAATTTCCAGGCTAATATAAAAATGTTCTGGAAACTCGTAAGAACTGCCAGGGGAAATACAAAACAGCCTATAATTAATGCTATAAGAGACGAGAATGGATGTATTCTGAATGATGAAGTTTCGAATTTAAACAGATGAATGTATGAAGTTTTAATAAATAAATAAATCAGTGTATAGAAGGATGATAAACGGGCACACTGTCTACTTGATAGTAAGCAGATGCTGCGGCCCATAGACATTTATCCTCGATTAAGAATCAAAATGCAGATGCCTTGTCACTCCTGAGGACTACGATGAAATGCCTCGTTTTCAATTAAAAGGGTCCCTGGTTCTCTATATTCAGCATACGAAACAAAGCTGCTATTCTAGGCTGGTTTTCAGTAAGAGCGTAGTCCTTACCCAGTTGGGCCGACCCATTCGTTCTGCAACTAATATAGGTGCAGCGGGACTCTACCGCGTACAACTTATGTGTGCGTGTGGTGCAACTCACGGGCGGGTGTCGGTGTCCGCAGACGCAGTGCGAGTGCGGGCGCAGCGTGACGCGGCGCACTCCGGCACGCAGGCGCAGTGCGACGGGCGAACACGCGGAGCTATGCAGCGCCGCGCGCCACAGCGATAGCTCCAGCACTCCGCGTCCGCGCCGTCTCCCCCCACCCTCCGTCTCCATCACCTGAGTGAACGTATTGTAACATAGTTTTTAACTAATGGCGAAGTAATTCAAGAGTAAATTTACCTAGTAAGATTGTAATTTATTAAGTTTTAGCATTCCAGTTACGGCAAAGCATGTTAATTCTACATTATTTAACATCTTATGTACAATGTTTTGATACAAATAATTTATCTATCTATATATCATTTATTGTGTTTTTGCGTACAAAGCCTTCAGCCAAAAATAGCACACCTCATTCGCTATAATATACTACAGCACACTGCTGCGCAAAATAATTTGAAAAGCATCTTTTCTTAATTGCCTGTACATACCGTCACCACTGCTCCCAACACCACTATACTAGGAAAACACAGTATCTCTCAGTATATCTATGAAAATTTGATGTATGGTCACAAAATAAAGGTAGTTTTAGTAAAAATAAGTGACATCACTCTGTAAACACTAGGAACAAACACAAGCTGGTGCTACCAGTATCTCGACTCCACAGAGTTAGTAATTCATTCTTGGAGCAATTTATACGCTATTACAACAAAGTCCCAGAAAATATACAAGGTCTCTCTATTACCAAGTTTAAATATTTAATTAAACAGAAACTGTATAAAAAGGGTTACTATGATATAAATGAATACATGGTTGATAACAACCCCTGGGAATGAGGTGGTCGCTTCCAAGCTGTTTCTAAAATAAATTTTATAAATATTTTGTGACCCTTGACATTGTAAAATTTATTTAAAAAAAAAGTCCCAATGGGTTTCTTGCTGGTTCTTCCCAGGACAGAGGTTTTTTTTCGAAACAGTGGTAACGTAAAATATTGAATTTGAATAAGAATTACTTGTAATCTATATTGAATAAAAAATTATTCTATTCTATTCACACCATTTTTAATAATACAACACGTGTTTCGCCTCTAAACGAGGCTTATCAGGAGAAATAGATTCTACGATGGCTGATCTGAGTGAGAGGTGCGCACCTCAGGTGCGTCAACTCAGTCCATTTATACAACTAACTGCTGACGCAACCTTCATTTTATTAACTAACGTACCAACAGGGCTGCATTAACGAAATTGCAGATTAATAGTGCATCATATTGCAGTCAAGCCATATCATCTATTGTGTATTAGTCAAAAAATAAATTTTAATTTATTATAATTTATTTTTTGTTTATAATTATAGTCGCATACTTATTAGAAATAAAAAATACTTCACATGAACCAATTTCATAAAATTCCGTAGTTACAGTGCAATTTAGTATTATTGTTTTTGTTTAATTTATTATTATTCTCCCACAAAATCTTTACCACACAATTAAATTTTCACCTGTATCGTAGATTCGTTTTACATTCATAAGTTCCACGTATATATATATATATATATATATATATATATATATATATATATATATAATAAAACAGTTACCTTAAACATGAAGGAGACTTCATCAAAGTATGCATTGAAAGCGATCGGCGTAGGCGCGGGTATTGCGGGCGTGTCTTCAGGTCCAGCGCGTTCCCAGGCCGGCAGCCAAGACCACGCCCACGAGGACCAGCTCTCCACCTGCGAGGAGTCCAGCGAGCCCGACGACACACCCACTAACCACGCCCACAAGTTTACACTCATTTATGACTGTTGTAATCGTTAAACTGAATGCTCGAAAGCATATCCTATACTTAGTTAGAAGTCGCGGCACGTAAGTCTAGCGCTGAACGAAACGTGGAGCAAAACAAAGCTGCGCATGGGTACTGTCGCACACGCTTAGCTAAACTCTTAGCTAAATAATATTATATGCCTATATGAATGTGAGTGTATGTGTTTGTAATTATTATAATTTCAAATGTTTCATGTTACCTAGGATATATTTTTAACAAGTTTATGAGGAGTAGAAAAATAAAAACATTCACGAATTTTCAATTTTTAATTTAGATATTAAAAAAACTAGTTCTAGTTTTACATTTACTAAATTGAATGATAATATAACAAATCCAATTAATTAAATTATACAGATACATATTTTAAATTAAAGTACATAATAATATTATAATTATATATAATGTGCGTTATATTAAAGTTGAAGATGTAAGAAACTTTCAGTGGATTCGTATGTTAAAGATTTGAGCCAGTTTATTGTGTTTTTTCTACATTCGTGTTCAGGAAGAGGATATATAGATAACAGGCTATTTATTTTGTTGTGTATGTAATTACTGAGATAGGTGTAGTGTCTCTTGGCTAAGCTGGACTACTTGAATAACTTCTGCAGTTTGTTTTATCTGGCTTAAATTTACAGTGTTGTTGTCGTAATGACTGAGTAAAATATTCGTAACTACGCCAATCTCACTTTTTATTAGTTTTGAAGAAACAATTAATTAGTTAGATTCTCTTTTCAAAAAACATTGCACGTCATACACCATTTTCCGTGCCTGTCTTCTCAAAACAGTATTTCTTCTAGGAGTATTCACTGTTTAAAGTCACAAATAACTTTAATAAAAAAACTAATTAACAAACTCGAACTCAACAGACTAGTCAGCAATAACAATACAATTCAGAACGCGAATGTGAACGCGAGTCGAAAATAATGTGTCATGGGGTAGTAGACGGGTCGCGGGGTGGGCGTGCCTATCGTCATCGTTCGTTAATTGGCTTTCCAGTCGCATCACGTCGCCCAGTTTACCGCTAGACTTTCGTTCCGCTACATATAGTTGAGTTTAAGTCTAATTATAGAATACTATAATACATACATAATATAACTGGGAAGTGGGCGGAACCCATGTAGCCACTAACATGTCAATTCACACCTATAAACGTCAACAGATCTCTTTTGACGTATAACGTTTCCAATTTTCGTGTCAAGCGTCGCTGCATACAAATTATTTTTAAAATGGCAAATTGTACAATAATTGTGCCGAAAGAACAGCGGGAAATGGAATTTAAATAAAGGAGGCACATCCTAACCAGTAAGTCGAACTATTTATATTTTGTGAATATTAGAAACAAAAATAAAGAAATATTGATGTGTCAAAAACAACAGATATTGCAAGTACTAGAGATCTAAAAAATGTAGATGAAATGACCTAGAAATAAACTCAATTTTAACATTTTTTATCATATTGTAAATTTGTCATTTTTTATCAAATTCTCATTTTTTAGTAAATCCTCTATAGGATAACATAAAAAATTTGAAATAAAGTTTTTAGATTCGATCTTCAGGTTACGTATCATTACTATATAGTATATATTCACCTCACCCACAAAGAATTGAGTAGAGCCATTTTGTGTTAAAAATAAAAACATATATATGTTAATACTTATTCACCCGATTTCGCACTTGCCTTTTATTGGCTTACCAATACTGTACTATTTACTACTCTTGGTGTTTTTTTTTTATATTTTTCATTTCCATAAACCATTCTGCAGTTTTCCTGGTGATTCGGACTTAAAGAATACGTATTAGACATACACACTCGATCGACTGATCATTACGGATGGGTTGAATTGTTACGGCCTAGTAAACTTTTAATAAATGTTACTATTCCATAACTTTGAATAAATTTTAATATTCCGTAAATACTGTTTTATTTACTAAAGAAAGTAAGTACCTTCTTAATAGACATTTCGTTTTAGTTACTGGATGTATGGGGATGTTAAATAACATAGATAAACAGGCCAACACATTTCAAAGATAACAAATAATAAAGAAATCCTAATTTAAAGAAATATACTGTTACGAACTTGAGTTTCGTGACAATAAAAATGGCACAATACTTAGCAAAAATACTATCACCACTGAGAGGACATACCCGAGCACACACAAAGGATTCGTACCATTTTGTGAGTGAGATAAAAGACCTATATCTCGCTAACAATGAAACTATGGTCAGTTTTGATGTTCAGTCACTATTTACATGCCTACCTATTGTGCACTGCATCTCAATTGTAACTAGGAAGCTAGAAGAAAATAACATGCCTCAAGAATATGCAATACTACTTGAACATTGCCTCACATCTGGCTATTTATTGTGGAAGGAGGAGTTCTACAAGCAAGTAGATGGTGTGGCGATGGGCTCACCTGTGTCTCCCATAGTCGCCGACATATTCATGGAGGACTTTGAGGAGAAAGCCCTTCTTACTGCTCCTGTAACTCCAAGATTCTACAAGCGGTACGTAGACGACACTTTCACAATTTTACCATCTGACAAAGTAACTGCATTTTTAGACCACCTTAACTCCATAAACTCTAAAATACAATTCACAATGGAGTTAGAGACAAATAATTCTTTAGCCTTCCTAGATGTTTTAGTCATCCGAAATCCTGATAACACTATTGGTCACACTGTGTATAGGAAAAAGACCCATACCAACCGATATTTAAATGGTGAATCTCACCATCATCCTTCACAGTTAGCTACCGTGGGTAAATCTTTGTTACAGAGAGCACGAGGGATCTGTGACAGAAAACATCTGGCCGCGGAGCTTCAGCACGTCAAGCAAGTATTGCAAGACAACAAGCTTCGGGTCCCGCGCCTACGTCACAGTGAACGAGTGAAGCTGGCCACAGTCGAGCGCGCGCCTGCTCTACTACCATATGTCAGAGGAGTCACGGACAAGATTGGCTACATCTTGAAGCGAGCGTCCATTAAGACATACTACAAGCCGCAGAAGAAGAGTAGTCAATTTTTACCATCCATCATATGTAATATTCCTCTACAAGATGCAGGTGTGTACAAGCTAGATTGTGAATGTGGTCTCTCTTACATAGGTCAAACAAAGAGATCTATAAAAACCGCGTGAAGGAACATATAGCTGATGTGAAGCACCGACGCTCCGGGAAGTCTGCGAACATGTTCAAGATCGTCCCCACACATTAGATTTGATAAACCACAAATTCTCGCAAAAGAACACCGATTCCTACCAAGGATGATACGCGAGGCTATTGAAATTAAAAAACATCCAAATTTCAATAGAGAAGATGGTTGGGTGCTACCATCTGCTTGGGAACTTATAATTAACAAAATTAAACCCAAACCCAAGCATACCACTGCAAGACTTCATGATACTATAAGCTCGTTTTGCGTAAATCGGACCAAAAATTAATATTAAAAAGAAACTGAAGGTAGCCGGCCTAACTATGACATTGGAACGTCAAACATCTCAGTCCCCCCCGCCGTGACCATGGGTGCTGTAAAGCACCCGAAACGTCGGGATAATAATAAAAATAAATTAAAGTAATTAAACGCGATAAAATCCGTAAATAATAGTTTTATTCGTCGCTCCACTTGGGCTTGGGAGCACTGGCCTTCATCCATTCCAGAATCGGCTTGATGTCCGGATCTTCCTGCTATGCACGTTGTAAGCTGTCCTTCCACTCGTTGCTGAGGTGGTCTACCCTGAGCATCCTCACGGATACCACTTCCTTACTCTCTTGCCTAGTACAATGTTTGCAATCTTCAGGACAAGGTCTTCGTGATAATGCATCTGCGTTGCCATGAGATTTCCCGCTGCGATGTTCGATCTCAAAGTCGTATTCCTGCAGTAGTTCAATCCACCTCGCAACTTGTCCTTCTGGATTTTTAAACTGCAATAGCCATTTTAGTGCAGCATGGTCAGTTCGTAAGTGAAATTTTCGCCCCAGAAGATATTTGCTAAAATGCTGCAACGACTTTACCACAGCTAGCAATTCGCGTCTTGTAACACAATAGTTCTTTTCCGGTTTTTACAACGACTTGCTGAAGTACGCTATCACAATCTCTTGATCACCGTTCCGTTGAGACAACACACCGCCGAGCCCTGTATCACTTGCGTCTGTGTCAACTATAAATTCTTTGATTGCATCAAGGTAATCCCAAAATAGGTGTTTTGCACAGACGGTCCTTGAGCTCCTGGAATGCGATATTGCAACTTTCATCCCAGCAGAAATGTCGCATCTTCTCGCTTATGCATTCTCATAGCTTATGCAGAGGTTTGGCTATATCTGCAAAGTTCTTCACAAATCGCCGGTAGTAGGAGCACAAACCCAAAAATGCTCTAACCTGCGTCTTGTCTTTTGGAACCGGCCAATCCTTGACAGCGGCGATTTTCTCTGGATCCGTGCGGATACTTTCTTCCGATACTACATACCCCAAAAAGTTAACTTTGAACCCGTTTGAATAGTGAACATTTCTTCGGACTCAACTTGAGGTTGGCACTCTGAATCTTCATGAGCACGCGTTCCAGGTTTTGAAGGTGTTCCTCAAACGTACGGCTCACGATGATGATGTCATCCAAGTAGACCAGACAGGCATCGCCAATTAGCCAATTAGTTCCATCAGCCTTTCAAACGTTGCTGGAGCATTGCACAACCCAAACGGCATTACTTTAAATTGCCACAGACCCTTTCCCTTCGAGAACGCAGTTTTCTCCTTGTCCTTGGGGTCAATTTCAACTTGCCAGTAGCCACTTTTTAGATACAGCGTGCTAAACCACTTTACTCCTGTAAGCATGTCCAGCGTGTCATCAATTCTTGGCAAGGGATAGCTGTCCTTCTTCGTAACGTCGTTCAGACGGCGGTAGTCAACACAAAACCGCATGCTGCCATCCTTCTTCTTTACCAGCACCACTGGTGAACACCATGGACTAGAGGAAGGTTCAATAACACCATCCTTTACCACTCCTTCAATCATGGTTTCCACTTCCTTTTCACGTGCTATCGGCCGCTGATCTTCTTAGCCGCTGACGGATAGGCAATTCTTCTCCTGTGTTTATTTTGTGTTGAACTAAGCCAGTCTTTCCTATGTCAGCATCGTTTGATGAGAATACATCGGCATACTTGAGTAACAACTTCTTCGCCTTGACCATTTCGGTCGGGGAGAGAACGCTGCGACAGTCTTCCAAAAGTGAGGTCACTCTCGTTTGTGCATCCTTGCTGGGGGTCTCACTCGATAAATATTGGCACCGACGTAACCAATCCACTTCCTCACAAGTACCAACCAGCGTGCCTTTTTCTATAATCTGTTCCCGGTCACAAAGGTTCAGCACACGTACTCCTGAGATGCCAGTGGTTCTGACCAAGGTTCGAGCTACTTTCCATGAAAGGTCATTGTTTACCCTTTCCACAAGTACACAAAGGTGAGCTTGCCCAGCGTTTCGAGGAAGACTAACCGGAACAACCGTTTCCGATCTCAACACACTTATATTAGACAATTATACCTCATAAAGTCCAGGCCTAGGATGCAGTCGTCCATTATATCAGCCACGATGACATTATGCAGGTAGATCACGTTGCCTAGCTTCAACTCCATCTCCTTCTCTCCACGGACGGGTATACGCTGACCGGTGGCTGTTACCAAATTAATGCGTTCTCGGTTGTATGCGGAGTCCCCAAGGAACTGACTTATAAGTTGGGGAACTAACAACCGTACGAGAGGCTCCAGTGTCTATTGTCAGTTTACAGGGCATTCCGTTGATCTCGCCCTTGATGATTAGACTGTTCCCATCATGGGTTTGTGAGATCGCGATCCTTGGGGCTCTTTTAACATCAGCCAGAACCCGCCCCGCAGTTCTGGCCTTCACTCGTTTCCCTGCTGCTGCTGGGCGGTGCTGTTGGCCGCACTACCCTCCTGAGATCGTTCAACTTCCCTTTCTAGGGTTCGCTTATGGCAGCTGGATCGAAGATGGCCCTTTTCCCCACAGCCATAGCACCTAGGGCTGTATCCTTTGTTGCGATCGCGAACTGTAGCTGCTGCAACCTCCCTGACGCGATGGGAACGATGATCCTGCCGCACGGCTTCCACCTCCAGTGCATGGGCCAAGGCGTCCTTAAGCGTCTCGTGGTGTCCGAGCCTCACAGCAGCTCTGACTTCCAGGTCGCGGATGCCGTCGATGAACGTCTGCACCAGGTTCCCTTCAATGAGCGCAGGTACAGACCGGTATGCTTTTCGCACCAGCTTCTCAAACTCTAGAGCCCACTGCTGCAGGTTTTCGTTGATGCGCTGCACGCGATCTTTAAGCTGCGCACGAAAGACGTGTTCCAGGTGAGCGTCGCCATATCTCGCCTCCAATGCCTCAAGGAGTTGCTCATAAGTCACTTCCTCACCGAGAGCATCCAGAATTGTTAAGGCTTGGTCGCGCAGGCCTAGTGTGAGAGCAGTCATGGCCTGACTTTTATTCCAGCCGTTCTCTTTCATAACAGCCTCGAACTGGATTTTGTAGGCTGACGAGGAAGAAGTCCCGTCGAACGGTGGCACCTTGAAGCCACGTAGCGAAGGTGTAGTAGCTACTACGGGAGCTGTAGTTCCATCCCCAAGTTTGAGTTCGTCCAGTGATTTCTTCATGTCAGCCATTACGTTGTCAACCCGATTGTTCACTGGGTCGATTCGGGTTTCGGCTTTCTCGATTCGGGTTTCAGCTTTCGCGATTTGGGTTTCAGCTTCTGACAGGCGGTTGTCATGCTGAGCAACCCTATCCTTCACCTCCTTGATCTCCTTCCCGAAGGTAGCGTGAATGTCCTTCATGAGGAGCATCTGACTGCTCTTCCAACCGACGGGCCTGTTCCTCTTGTCCGTCCCGCAGCTGCTAACACCTAAATCAGGTGCTGCAGATGTAGGAGCTACTGACGGGCCTGCAGCCGGCGGCTGGCCCTCCGACGTCTGCGGCGTTGCACCACCAAATCATCTTTGGTCCGTCTCCTGCTGGCGTTTACTTCGGGTACGGACACCCTCCGTTTCCTCCTTATGTAAAATCGGCATGATTTTATCCCACTTCTGACACCAATTGTTACGAGCTTGAGGTTCGTGACAATAAAAATTGCCGATAGGATTACCTAAATTAACACTTTAATTTTCTTTACACAAATTAAAACTTAAAACACCAATAATTAAGCACACTAATTCACTTTATTCCGCTCCGAAGCTTCGCTTGTCTCGCCAAATTCAATACTTCCCCGATCGCACCTTGCAGCGCCTATAAATACACATTAGTACCGAATCATCCAGAACATTCAAGTAAATACGCGCACCAATCGACAAAGCGCCGAAAGTTGGAGAGTCAGCTTCCAGAAGCTTAGTTCTTCATTTCGACAACAGATGGCGCTGTCGGCTGAAAGATTAGTGATGTAATTTTCTGGAAAGCTCTCCCCTCGCTCAGTTACCCGACACTAGATGGCGCTAGTGCCAGATGTCAACTTAGCCGCGCAACAATATGAATACGTTTTCGTCCGTGTGAAATTCAGTCATAAAACGTCATCTCTTCGAGGATAAAAAGTAACCTAGCCTTTTTAATATAACAGCATTTCCTATACAAAGTTTTATAGCCGTTTCACAGTTTATATCCAAATTGGCAGTTTAAAGGCTAAAAACTACTAAACTAAAGTAGGTTTTACAGCCAACTTAGCTACTATATCACTTTTATGACATAACCAGGCATTAAACTATCTCAATTTTATCAAAATAGATTCATTGGTTTAGCCATAAAAGCCTGAGACAGACATTCACATTATAATAGTAAAGTACGGATTTCTCATACACATTATTCTGAAAAACTCTATTTATCTATCTTTAATACATTTTGGCAGCAAATTACGTGTTTGTCTTTTATTTCTTGAAGTAAAATTTTGGATTTTTTTATCGAAAACAAAACCGTGTATTTGGAACATACAAAACATTTTTTTCATTACACTTTTACAAAGTATTCACTTTTAGTATTCTTTTATTATTTTATTATAAAATTTTCTTTAATTATAGAATTGTACAAAATAATTAACAAAAAATAATATTGAAATATTTCAAAATAAATAAACTCAAATTCTTTCTAATTTATATATTAATTCTCAGATAATGCAGCAGGGAAAATGATTTTTCAGAGTGACAAACGAGCTCACAGTCCTCCTGATACTAAGTGGATACTGTGGCCCATAAACATCTACATTCATCCCTATTTAATAATAAAAATGTAGATGCGTTGTTACACTAGAGAACTAAGATTGAATGCCTTGTATCCAGTAAAAAGGTCCTCGGTTCTCTACATTCACCATACGAGACACGGTAGTATTAAGCTGCTACGCGCTCGCGACACTATTTATTTGTAACATGGCATACCATTTCGGTTCTCAGAAGTCAATTAAAGACGTTATCACCCAACAAACGCAGATAATCTGCAACTGTAAAGAACCACCGGAGCTGTCTACCGTATAATGGCGGTGTAAGAATATCCACCACCCCAAATCATCCAGTGGATGTCGTGAGAGGCGACAGAGGGAAAATGAACTAGAGATGGGCAGCAGCATCTTCCTCATAAGAGCTCAAAAAAACCGCGGTTGCCAACATGCTTGCCAAGTTAGGCAGCTTTGATAAATTTTAAACAAAAAGACAATCAATGCAGGTGACCGATGTTCAACAGAGGACTTATTTGCTGTAAAGATGATGATGAATGTGGTAGGTGCTTGGCCACAGCATCAACTATGACTATGTGTTCGTTTGTCATCCTCACATATATAAAAATACTGGACTAGTATAGCTTAATAAAAATAGAGAAGAAAGAAAGAACATATTTATTTATTGCTGCAACTTGTAGAAAATTCTAAGTTCAGTTTGGTTCGTATTGCTAGTACTGACCTGTCGGCGTGTAAGTCGGTGCGTGCGCGTTTGCGTGCGAGTGGTGCGGGTGGGATGGTGTTGGGGGATGCTCTTGCAGCAGACGCAGCAGCAACCCCAGCTGCTCGCTGCTCACACCCCACGCGAGCCGAGCGGCGCGGGCACGCACCGATACACAACGAGCGCGCCTCTGCGTCGCGGACACCAGCCGCGTCACCACCCTGTGCACCAAGTGCATTAATGAGGGCATCCAACAGATAAGTAGGAAAGTTTTTTTAAAACGTTGTCTCCACATACCTAAACACAAGGACAAACATCCAAACTCTTTGAATATGTGGCCCTCATGCCCAAATACTCAAACGCTATTCAATTTTAAGATGCCCTTAAGCGTCGTGTTGTCTCTATCACTTTGACATTAGAGACTCAACGACATCTTAAAATTGAGTAGTGTTTGAGTATTTGACTCTTAACGCTACAACTTATTGCTAGGCCACGTAGCTGTCAAATTGTACGAGCCAAGGTAATTCCTAAAATTTAAGAAAAATTAAAAAGTTGTCTCTTTCTAAAAATTATTTGTATTTTGTATTATACATAAAAAAGTTCAAAACATGTAAAATAAATAGAGAAAAATCACACAGCACCGAGGCTTTAATTTGGGTATTTACATACACTAGAAACCGAAGAACTTTTATTAAAAACGCAACTTTTCCATGATGACAACATTACGCATATGTACTAATCAACAGACGACATCTGGTGAGCGTAAGATTATTAACCTTCATTACGCACTAATTCACCAAGCGGCGCGCGCTTGTCTGTCTTGATGGATTTTTTAATGTTTATTGTATTCCTAGCTGCGCGAGCAGACTTTTTTCTTCCCTTTTTATTAGGTAGCACAATGTGTTATACTCTGAATGAACTACAGACTTTCTACAAAGTAAATCTATTAATAGCACGACTACAGCGTCATCTGTCGGATCGAGTCCTGATTTAATGCTTTTATTTTTTGCACTTAATCCACATGTTTTGTGAATTTCAGTGACTTTGTCCGTAAATAAATAATTTGACCAATTCCCTATTTAATTTTAAACGATTACAATTCCCATCAAAAGAAGCAATATCAATGACAATCAATAAATCCCAGGCTCAAATCTTGAAAGTTGCGGAATTACATTTTGGTGTGGTCGGGATGTTTTACAATGGGCAGGTCTACGTGGTTCATTAGTTTAACCGCTGAACGTAGGCCTCCCTATAGATTGCCACATAAGGGGGATATTTGCCATAGCTGTTACGCTTGATAGGCGGGTTAAAAATCAGATTTTTTTATTTTTAGTTATATTTAGGAACCCGCTGCTAGTTTGCTTCTTTCTGTCGCCTCTTGCTACAACCACGAGACGATACGGGGTAGAGAATATTTTTAAACCGCCACTATACGGTTGAACGCTACGTTAAAACAATTTGAGTAAAAAAATATCGGTTCGTAATTAAACGCAAACGAAACCGTGGGTAAAATCTCGTATTGTATAATGATAATGACTGGCTACGAAAATGACAAATAGGAGGATACCATCTGTAGTCAGAATAACAGAATTTGAAAAGTTTGTGCATTTAGATATCATTTGGAGAATCCAAAAATGTACATTCGGTACCTATATTTAAAAGATTACGATTATATTAAGAGATAAAAAATTAAACAAGAAAAAAAACTTGAAAAAGCTAAAAAGTAGAATTATAGATCACAAAGAATTCAGTGAGGATATATCTCTACAGCGTATCAAAAGTCCACGCCGAACATAGGCCTCATCCAAATGGGGAAAGATTGCCTCATGATGGGATGAATACTATAGTCGCCAGGCTCAGCAAGTGGGTAAGCAACGGCAATTTTTTATTATTATGAATTTTTATCAGAAAAATTATTAATTTTTATTAAAAATAGGTTCACTCCTCCTCCATCCCCCTCCATCAGGTTTGAGGGAGAAGATGAGGTCCACGATGGAGCTCGAGAGGAGCCTGTTCACACGCACCTTGAAGAGCTTTAGATTATATGTATGTGTGTATAGTTTTATACGTGGTAAAGCCATGCTGCAGTTACACTAGTAGTATAGTTGTAGCACGAATGTGTCCGCTCGACCGGGGAAGGACCACGCTCTCACAGAATACCAGCGTAAAATACTCGTAGTAACATAATGCTGCTGTTTCGTATGGTGAATGTATATAGTATGGAGAACCGGATGTATATGGTATGGAGAACCGGAGGCACTTTTTACTTGAAAAGAGGCATTACATCTTAGTCCTCAGGGGTGACAACGCATCTGCATTTTCATTCGTAATCGAGGATAGATGTAGATGTCTATGGGCCACAGCAACCACTTACCATCAGGTGAGCTGTGTACTCCTTTGTCACTCAGTCCTATAAAAACAAATACATAGAAAAACAAACAACGGCAGGATATTCCACTCCTTAGCTGTGCGCATTATAAAAGATGACTTGTAGCAGTTAGTACGAATATTAGAAATGTCAACCAAGTGTAGATGGTAACCTGTAGTACGTCTGGTCCTCCGATAGGAGAATCAAGATAGCGGTATGAGCTTATGAAGCTCATAGATAGAATGTAGTAGAAAACCGAAAAACAAACAACTTAGCGACGATGAGCTGTGAAGCTTAGTTTCCACCAGCTTTTTGTCAGCGATAAAAATCTTTCTTGGCTCTACGTTCCACTGAGTGGATTGCGACAAGTTGATATTTTGCTAAGCCATCCCAAAGGTGACTACAATATTCCATGCATGTTCGGACTTAAGCTTTGTATAAAATTACAGAAGACGCCATTAGAGCAATCTATTATTTATAACCTGGAGTCGCTCAGACAAAAATTTTGAGAAATTAATATACAAACGTCGGCAGCTCAAACGATTATGAAAATGTAATGTATGTACACAAAAATAAAAGAAGTTCTACAAAAATAAATGATAATCATTCCTTAAATACTAGGAACAGATACAAGCTAGTAGTAGCCAGATTTTTTTCCCCAGTTACTCAACTCCACCGAGTCAGTAATTCATTCTTAGGGCGATGTGTGCACTTTTACAACAAATCCCAGAAAATATACAAAATGTGACCTGCACAAAGTATAAAAACTTTTTTAAATAGATTTTGTATAAAAGGGTTATTATAATGTTAAGGAATTTATGGATGATAATAACCCATGAGAAGGGCGATGGCTACTAAGCTATTTCTAATTTGTTATGTGTTGTTAGTTGTAACATACATGACTTTAAGCTGCTTTTTTAAAAGTCCTGTTGGATTCCTTGATGGTTCTTTTCAAGACAGAGGTTTTTTTTCGAAACAGTGGTATATTTAAAAAAGGGACTTTCAATAAGTATTATTTATAGCCTATGTTGAATAAAAAAGTTTCTGTTTTTTTTAGAAGCTGTTTAGGCGTGAAGTATTGGTTCGCCTTGTTTAAAATACCCAGTTTTTCGGCCGCAGTTTGTGCTTTAGACTCAATGTTAGCGTGAAAGTCGAGGTTAGCACTCAACTGTATGTCGCGAAGCTCAAGATGATCAGTAACCTCTACTGACATATCTCGCAGAGTAGGGACAGATCAAACGGACTCCGTTTTGCGTAGGACACGCCTGCATCTTAGCGATGATGAACACAAGAACTAAGATCGCATTTATTCGCTTTACTATGGCCTCTCTGAATAAACGTATTACTACCTCTCCGCCTTTTGCATTGGTCTTGAATCTCTTTGTGACTGAGCTGTCATCTGTATACCCATCAATACCTTGTAGAAGAAAGGTCTTTGATGTGCAGCAGCAAAAGTATCGCAGAGAGAACTGACCCATGATAAACTGCGGCATTAATATGCATTAGGTCCGGTGGCGAAGCCTCCATAAAAGCCCAGAAGCCGGGCTTGCCCTATCAAACTGCTCAATCAATAATATCAACTAATAAAATAACTCGTAAACTGTTTCAAACTATTTCAAATTTCCCGCGCGCTCCTCTGTTGTACACAAGTCATGACCTCGTAGCCTTAGTATGTAACGTCAACTAACACTTGGCAAATTGCTTACAATTGAAATACATTGATTCGCGTTCTCTCTGTTTCAAAACGAACACGCATTGAACTGTCAAAATTATGAAAGCAACGAGTTCAGTTGAGCTATTAGTCCTCTCTCTCGCACGCGTGGACTTTTTACCGGGCTTTCGAGATGCTTTATAATTAAATATAACTAAGATTGATTACATAGCAATTTAGTATAGAGCGTTAAGCCAGGCTTTTGATATAAAGTTGATGAAAGTGAAGCGCGGGCGATACGTTTGCAAGTTCAATTTAAATTTCAATGTTTATTTATTTTGTGTATTTAGCTTAAGCGAATGAATATTGCAAGTTGTAAATTAATGCTTTTATAAAGATTTTTAGTGAAAATGGAGTATAATAGTGTTCCTTGTGATGAATTGAAGTATGTTAAAGTGCTAATCGGCGAGGAAAATGTAAATTTTAATTCAATAACTATATATTTCTTCATACTTTAATAGGTACAGGACTCTTTAGTATTAAAGTTTAATTAAACTAGGCGTATTTAAAGGTTTATTAATTCAATATTTATATTACCATAATTATGAGTTAAAATTATCATTTTGAACGGCAATATAAAATATGAGATAGGTATAAGTTTAATTGTATAGTAAATAATTGTTACAATCTTTTTTTAATGTGAAGCCTAAATTTTAAATTAATAAATCAAAAATATACATGTATTGCGGTTTTTAAAGAATATTTCCTTTAGTACTTTAGTATATAAAATTTTAATAGCGCCATCTACTTAATTCTATAGGTGGTATGTACAGAATACGCTAGATTGCTCAAACACGCTATCGGCTAATTTAATAATTCAATATTTATATTACTGAAAATGACATCACTAATCTTTCAACCGACACCGCCATCTAGTCTCGGAACGAAGAACTAAGCTTCTAGAAGCTGACGCTCGAATTCTCGGCCCCTTTGTGCGTGTTTACTTGAATATTCTGGATGTTCTGGACGGTGCTAATTTGTATTTATAGGCACTGCAAGATGCGATCGGGGAAGCATTGAATTTGGCGAGACAAGCGAAGCTTCGGAGCGAAATAAAGCGAATCAGTGTTGTTAATTATTAGTGTTTTAAGTCTTAATTTGTGTAAATAAAATTAACGTGTTAATTTAGGTATTATATAATA